GAACAATTTTACAACCTCACAGTAGTAACACACAGCGCGCCATTCTCCTTACAGCCCCCCGTTTGCTCACGAGGCACGGGGTGCGGGCTGTCACATCCTGGACCGGGCAGGGGGTGTCTCAGAAACGAGACGATCAGTATGGGGACATCCCCTGTGAAATGGTCTGAACAGTGGTAACTTCAAATGGTTTCCACTTGAGCCCAAAGTGTCTCAAACTCCAGGAAACAGGCCCTTGCTAACAGACAGGTAAGAATATACACCTTCGCTCTTATTGCCTCAACAGTTACCCTGTGAAAAGTACCTGGGTGCGTGTCACGGGCAGGGACGAGGTGGTCTGAGGGAGCTGACAGTCTCCTTAGCAGTCAGGATGTATGGATACAGACACATAGCTTCCTCTCCTCCCCACTTCTTCCTTTATTCTTTCTCTTCAGGTGTAAGATTCCCCAGGGGGTGCCCAGCCGGTGTGGCTCAGTGCTTGAGTGTCACCCTATGCACCCAGAGGTTACTGGTTCGATTCCTGGTCAGGGCACATGCCCAGGTTGTGGGCCAAATCCCCAGGGGGGGCGTGCAGGAGGCGGCCAATAGATGTTCTCTCTCATTGATGTTTCTATTTCTCTCTCCCTCTGCCTTCCCTTTTCTCTACATTCAAAAAAGGAAAAAAAAACAAAAAGATGCCCCAGGGGCATGCCAGCGGGGGAGCTCAGACCTCTGGGACGGCCACAGTTACCCTGTGTGGCTCCCTCCTGCTAGGCTGCTCCGTGGAGGAAGGAAAAAATTGTTTCTCACCCTTCCCCATCCAATCTCACTCTCCCCTTACAAACCGGGAGCACAGACCCCGTCAAAAGGGATTGTTCAACAGGACATCTGGCTTTTGTTCTGTGTCATTTGGAAGTTTGCTTTGAAAAATGTAGTCCCCAGTCCATATACCTAGATCCACCATTAAAGTAAAACACTGAATACTGAGTCTCGGTCTGGGGCGGAAAGGCTCCTAAAATTCCCGCTGAGCCTCTTTTCATGAAGATGTGACCTGAAATAGGATGAAATTAAACAATCAAACGTAGTCGTGTTTCTGAGCATTAATGGGCCCTTGTTTACTGCCGTGATTCCCATGGAGTGTCAGCTAATTGAGGGATTTCCAAGTCTCAGCCAAGGAAGCCGGAATGACCCCCCCGCCCCCCGTGCCGTGAGGAGGGGAGAGACCACGGGAGAGGCGAGGGGTCCTGCTGCCCAGGGCGCACGCACAGAAGCTCCGGCCTGTGCTGGGAGGAAGATGCAGGGAGCCTCCTGCACAGTTCTGGGTGCACTAGCAACAGGTGAAAGGTTTCCATGTGCTTTTAAAAAGAAAAACAAAAAAAAGCTGATCTCATAGCGGGGTGTTTTCTCAATGTTTTGCAAAGCAAGACCGTTAAGTCCCACGAAGCACATCATAATGTCTGACAAAGACTATTGTGTATGAAGCTCCGTGTGTGGAAAGGGGTGGGTGGCCGTACGTTCACTCTGTGGCTGTGGTCCTTGGGGGCCCTGGGGCAGGGGGGCAGGGATGCTGAGAGAGAGCAGGGCCAGGCTTCCCACAGCCTCCACCACAACCCAGTCCCACTGAGGCACAGGGTAGCTGCCTGGCTTCAGGGCCGATGTTGGTCTTCCGGTGCGGCCTAGGCATGCACTGGTCTCATCGAAGGAACAGAGGACATAGAGCTATGTGCATTTACAGGTGACATTATGGCTGAGTAAGCATCAAATTTTGCAAAATATCTCTCCTTCCACGGCCGCGGTTCAAGAACACTATAGCAGAAAACATTCGAAGATTAAATTGTCTGTGAATCTACAAATTACTCAGAGAAAAACAATGAACACATTGGATCCACCGGCTCACTGACGTTCAAACTGAGTCAGAGAAGTTAAAAACATTCACACAAAAGGACCGTCCACCATATAGCGCCAGGGTGTGCGTTCCCAAGGGGCTTCTTCGTGGCCGTGCGGCTCGGATTTCACACGGGCTGGCTTCCAGCTGTCCCGCAAGCTCATCTCATTCTGTTACTACGACGGGGAGGGTGTAATTTCAGGAATCACAATGGAAGAACAGGGCACTGTGCGGCATTATGTCTGCTGGGCTTGAGATCAGTAGGTTAAGCATCACTTAAAATATAACTATATTGTGTGTTTGCATATGTATATATGTACAACATGTTATATCTATCATCTATCTATCTATCATCACATGATTCAATAATGTGCTGAAGATCGCTCATACAGGTTCATGAGAGATGACAGGAATTTTCAGGAATTTTGCAAGCCAGTTAGGATTACGTTGGTACATTGAAAGTGCCCTTGTCAAGACTATTCAGAACAAGGAAACAACAATAATGCAAATCAGAAATCTTTTCCCTTTGGAGACAGAGTTGTTAAATGATGTACCAATAAACCACTGTACATTTGATCAGGAAGGGACCTCACACAGAGTTCAGTTCCCAGGGGAAGCAATAGTCAATTAAAAAAAAATACCAAAGTTCAAAAAAGAAAGTATTTTTGCAATTTAATTTAGCCAAATGTTAATAAATAGGCTTAAATTTCACCTACTTTTCTTCTTAAATATCTTAAAGTAAGATGATAAAGTCCAGTATATTTCTTAATCATTGGCTGTTTTAGAATACTTGGACAAAGATAATTTGGGACATCTATTGCTTTGTATTTTTAACCAAAGCCTCTGCATTTGCCTGCGTTAGTGGCAGAGCTAATGCTCCAGTTAAATGTTAATGAAAATGAAAACTATCTGTAACATGGATGAGTCAAACTTGTCTTTTGGTGCAGCTTGTCTGTGTTTATTTTTTGTAAACTGTCATTTGGTGTCACTGAGGTATTTTGTATTAAATGTGTGTCTTTGTGTCCATGTATTTATATACACAAACATGCACACACATACAGAGACACACATACACCTCAACAAATTATCACGTTAGGGAAATGGGGTTTCAGGTTAATTACATATTCTACTGCAAAACCGGAAATGGCATGTGCTGACACCCATGCCAGGTTTATAAGTAGCTATTTGATCGGGCCCAACAGTTCTTTCTCTGTTTTCTAAAAAAATTCAGCCACCATCACGTCCACGCCCCCTGGCATGGGCAGCGTGTTTAGTTTAAGCGTGAGCGATCCTGGGTCAGAGACTCCGGGGTCAGGGGCTCCGGGGTCAGGGACGGCTTTGCCTGGTCACATGCATGGCGTGTGAATTTTGTGTCCTCCGTCCATTGATTCCTGCAGAGGTGCTGAGATCCCGGCCGAGCCGCTGAGCAGGCGGTGCCCTGGGGTTGTGCGACGTGGTGACTCGGAATCAGAGGCCTGAGTTTCGCTGGACAAAGAAAGTTGTGTTGGGTGGAAAGAATGATCCCTGCACCTGGCGATGGATAGCAGGGATGAAGGAGAGTCCAAGGCGGGTGGTTCTGCACAAGAGGAGACCAGCTCTCTGGGAGGGTCCAGCCTTTCCCCTGGCGACGGGTGTCCACGGTGCCCCCAGCTGCGTGGCTTGGACCATCGGGATCTCAGACGGCTCTGTGGCGCGCCAGCGGGTGCGCAGGTTCTGTGTCCTCAGGTGATTCCTTGGAAACCAGTTCTTAATAAAAGAAATCCAGGGCACTTTGTTTCTTCGTTGACTTGAGGCTCTTTGAGCAAAGCAGAGCTCAGGGCTTGGTGGACGGGTACAGGTGCGGCAGTCGGTGGGACGGAGAGGAGGCGGCGTCGGGGGAGTAGCAGAGTGTTCAGGCAGTAGTTCACACGTGCGGCCACTGTACATTCACTGTCACTGTCCTCGGAAGTGCAGCCCCGGGGCTCCCGTTGCAAGGGAGTCCAAGGCACCGGGACGCTTACTTCGAGAACGAAGAAGCACACACCAGGGCGTGATGGTCGCTTTCTGCAGGTGTGAGGTCTCAAACCTGAAACCCTTCAGAGTACATTTCTGGAGTTCAATTTAAATATCCACTCGATCAGCAGTGGCTTCTCGTAAAAGGCAAGACTGAAATGGAATCCTGCCTTTTCATAAAAATAAGAGGTGTGTTTGAGAAGTTAAATTCCTTCGAAGAATTAAAATACACGTACACTCACAGCTTGAGGGTTGGAATGAACCATGTACCGAGGAGCTGAGAAAACTCCTGCTTTTTCGGTTCCATCCCAGGACGTCGGGCATTCAGAAGCGGCCCAAAGAAGGCGCCCAGCACGTCGGTGGCATTTATTTACGCTGTGACGTCCCATCAGAATCCACCTGAACACATCCCACAAGCAACGTGGCTGGTCATAACAAGTCACCCTTATGACACAAAGCTGCCCTCCGTGTTATTTTGTGTGTTTGTGTTTGTGTTTTGTTTTTGTTTTTTTCAGTATAAAAGAATTGTGAGCTTTAGAGCTCAATATCAAAATTAAGCATGTTTTGTAAAACCTTAAAGTAGTCCATTGGTGCACTTGGTTTTAAAGAAGTCTTTCTTGACTTTCCATCATAGATAGAGTTTCAGCTCAAATGCACTATTTTCCAAACACTTTGGAAAGAAAATCTTCCAAGTATTGAATCCAACACAAAAATATTTACTGTATTATTCTCTGTGCTTTGATTCTATTTAGGTCCATTATAGACTCTACCCAGGAAGTTTTTCTCATTTGAATAGAGGAAAGTTATCTGTTTCAGGTAATTTCTTTCTTAGCATTTACAAATGTTGACCATCTTGTTGAGTGGATATTGATTAGGAATTAATAGAAAAAGCTTAATTTAAATTGTTCTGGACGTAAATGCTTCAATGATCATAAAAATCTTTCTATGAATTCCTTAAATACTTTGAATGGTAATTTAATATATAAATATATTTGTACAGGTTACTCTTCATCTTTAAAAACACCAATTTTTCTTAAATACTCAACAAAAGTGAGTAATTATTTTAAAATATTTTTATCATTTTATAAAATACATATGGTATTGTTTTAGGATCTTGATCTCTCACTTCCCAAGTGATTAACCCTGATAGATTATATAAATTTATGTGACTGTCTTCATCATATTTATAAATTTCTTGTCACATATTTGAGGCAAACCTGAGAATAGATCATTAATTATTTTTTCTCTCGTAAAATATTTCATTTCTCCATTTTCTTCTTTAGTGGTCTTTTGAAGAATCCAATCTGTTGAGAGAATACCAAACATAACACAATTAATAGCCTGAACTGAAGTAATAAATACTAATCTCCTTGAATATGAATTAATTTAATAATATGTTAACAATTCTAGGCATACAAATACTTAACATAATTATTTCTGAGAAGTTGTTGTTGTTGTTGTTGACCTATAAAGAAATATTGAATGTCAAGATATGACATTATCAAATTGTAAATTCATTTTTAACCTTTTCGTTAGCTGAATATATCATCTCCTAGTAAAAACTAGTGCATACAGTAAACTAAATAAAAGGGCTCTGGGGAAATATTTTGGGACACATACCAACTGCAGTTAGCTGGCACGGTCTCTCCTTTGCCATCACACCCCTCTTTTCCAGGGGTGTGGCAAAGAAATTTCCATCAAATAACTAATGATCATACATTGAGGTCATTAGAGTTGATGGGGAATATGGGAGGTTCACTGCGGCTAAAGGGTTGGTGAGATTTCTGAGTTGTCTGGATTAACGTCAAATCATATACAGTGTCAAAATATCTGTATATATAGGCTTGGCATGCACAGCCCCTTGAAAAATACCCTATATCATTGGGATATAAAAGTTAAGTCATTGAGAATATAAAAAAATTCACATAGGCATGAATGTGTCTATTTTTCATTATGCTTTATGATCCAGGCATCATAAAAATGATGTGTTTTATTTATTCATTTTCTATTATACAGAATAACAAAAATGAGAATGGGGCTGGACTCGACCTTTGCAGTCATCTAATCTAAAATGGGTATTTAAAAAAATTAAGGGTCCTAGAGACGTAAGTAAGTCGTTTTATAAAATATCTGTCCATATACACGTCTATGTTTTTCAAATTTGAGAGTGGATTATAATAGTTCAAGCAAAGACAATGAGTTAATTCTTTGAAAGTGCGGTACCTTCCTATCACGTTAATAACCAAGTGATGGTCAATTATGAAAGGGAATTCTATATTTTTAAAAGTAACAAACAACTGAGGGCCTACAGGAGATAAATGGTAAAAACATGCAGTGTGAAATGAGGGAAGTTTTACTCAGGGCATGTCTTCCTCAATGCCAGCATCTAGTTGGTGGTAGATGAGGATAGGGTGAGAACAGAGCAAGTGAACATGAAGAAACGGTCCGCTTGACCTCCTTGGGGTCCGGTCCACCTAGCTATCTCGGGCCCTTTCCACTGAGCCAAATATGAACGTTCTGGATGCACAAAGCCTCAAGCCCCTTAATGTGTGCCTCCGTCCTGCGTGGAGAATGAATCAGACCAGGCGTCAGGAAGCAGGTGCCGAAGGGTGCTCGTCCTTCCTGCCCGCGTCTCTTCAACCAGCCTTTGCTTTCACATGCCAAGCGCACTACTGTAACACGTAACCTCTGCTGTCTAAACTTCCCCGCCCAACCCATTCTATTAACACTGGTCTTCTGGTGGGAGCTGGGTGATCCGTGTGGGGATTAGGGCAACAGAGTTTACAGCCCCTCACTGGATGGGGGCAGTTCTAGCCAGAATCTGAAACAAGTCTGTTTCCAGCTCCAGGCCTTCCTTGTCGCTTTCACCTTCTGTCTTTTCATGTTTAATGATTGTATTTATGCTTCTGGAGTTCAAAACCCTATAGGGAGGGGTCTGATGAAATAGAGAAGGTAAATGCTTACTGACAATAATAAAGTACATGCTAATGACAATAATATGGAATGAATGTTGAATGAATACATGCATACTAACGTATAAAAGACCAAAAAGCTCCCCTTCCACACCCTGCAGGCATATGCATATTGAATGAGGAAAGAAACTTTAGGATCAGTAAATAAATGGGCAGAGCTAGGACTTCAGGCGTCAGGATGAGAGCAAGTTAAGAGAGAGGAAAGGTCTGCCTTCTCAGTTCCTCTGTGGGCAGAGTCTCGGTCCCTTCTCCGGGGAAAAGCTGCACACAGCCCCTGGCATACGGGCAGCGCTCCGTAAGTGACAGCCCCTTCCCTTCCACCGAGGGTCCCGGAGCGGCATCGCCCTCTCGGGGGCTGGACTGACTGTCCCTACTGGTCAGGACAGTCCAAAGGCTGTTAAACGACTGTGTTTGGGTCCTAAAAAGATCTACAAAACTGTTCCTGGAAGGAAGGGTGTGTTCATTTTTATATCTGTGCTTTTTCAGACTGGTGATGAGCAAACAGGTGGACAGAATGTATTTGGCTGTTTCGAACGGAGGCACGGGGTCAGAGAGAACCCCTGCACACATCAGCTCTGGCTTTCCTCCTCTTCTGAAACCACGCGGGCAGTGCAGCGCGCAGAACAGACCACCCTGACGGGCGTCACAGAAGGAGAACACTTTCTCTGTCAGAGGTGACATAAACGGAGGAAGGCATTCCTGAGCCAAGTATAACCCTGAGGCCACTAAGCCAGGCCTCGGGTACCACAGTGTGGCAAAGGCAGGTACTGCAGACAGAGCACAGATCCCTGTGAAGGAGGGAAGAGCTCAAGGTTTGCGATGGGGGACAATTCTGTCCTGGAGACTTTGCTGGACTAAAGCTATGGGCTCTGTTTACTGACCTACATACCACTGACCTACATCTTTTAAAAAAAATTTTTTTTCTTTATTGATTTTTTTAGAGAAAGAGGAAGGGAGAGGGAGAGAGAGATAGAAACATTGATTGGCCGCCTCCTGCATGCCCCTCACTGGAGACTGGGCCCACAACCTGGGCATGTGCCCTGACCGGGAATCGAACTGGTGACCTCTTGGTGCAGGGTCAATGCTCAACCACTGAGCCACACCAGCCAGGCTGACCTACATCTTTAACATGGCTTTATTCATCTCCTCCAAGAGTCACCCCATAAAAGAGGAAAGTGGTCATCATTAGAGTCAGAAATGGTCAGAACCATTGGTGATTAGATGGGAGAGAAATCTGTTACTCAAACTATTTGATTAAAAGATCATTCTCTTGCTCAGGTGTTAGAAAAACGAATACAAAGGGCGAGGAGTTGAGGAACTGGGGGAAAGGTGAAGGGGTTGAGAAGCGCAGAGTGGTAGTTACAGAACAGTCACAGGGAATACAGTGCAGCACAGGGAATACAGTCAGTAATACTGTAATAAGTACGGATGGGGCCAGTGGGTACTGGAAGTGTCAGGGGGACACTGTGTAAAGTGTATGATTGTCTGACACCTGAAACCAGTAGAACATCACGCTGTGAAAAAATGAAAATGGAATATGTATCCGCGATCTGTATTTTTAGCATAATTTAGCTATATAACAAAATAATCCGTAAAATATAGGGTAAATGTCAATTTGACGTTTTACTGGAAAAACTGAATTCAACTTTCTATGGGATTTTATTATCTGTTAAATTTATCTTAGAAGCGATCATCTCAGTTCGCCTCATTTAAAAATGATACAGTTCAGAGTTTCAAAAAATCTGCAGGCCTCAGTTTAAGCAAAACAGCTGGGTAAATGCAGGGATCTACCAGACAGAACACAGAGGTGACCCAGCTTTGCAAGAGGATTTGGAACAGGAGTCCGTGAAACTATATTTCCTCTCCATCGACGCACTGATAAAATTCTCATCTCTCACCCAGGCACAAAACATCGCACAAATGTGGTCTATTTGTTTATACATTCAAGAAGTATTTGATTTTTAAGACACACAGAAATACGTGGTTAGGATAAGGCTCATCTTAACCATAACTCTATTGCTTATATATTCTTGAATGGACATGGGAGTCCATACTTTTCTTTTTCTACATAAGAGAGTTCACATGCTTCTCTGCTTATGAAAGAAATGTACACTTCATCTAAGACTTCCAGTGGCGCACACCTAACATGAATGTTCCCACCTCTAGAGAGAGCCTCTGTGGTTTTTGGATACATCTGTTTCTTTTTCTTAGGCAGAAACAGGATCAATGTGCACACAGTGCCTGAGACACACATTCTTCTTTTTCTCGATCCTCGGTCCTTATTCCAACGTGTGTCATCGCCGTGCGGGATCGCATTCCACAGCACGGGTACATCACGGCCTCTTCTCGCCTTTGCGGGGACAGCGGGGACAGAAGGGAAGGGGGGCTCGGTGCTCACCTTCCACAGCGCCACCACCAGCAGCATCAGCAGCAGGAGGCCGGCGAAGGCACTGAGCAGGATCACCCACAGCGGCACGCGGCCCGGGAGCCCGTCCTTGGAGATTTGGATTGCAAGCTGGGCATGGGGAAACGAGAGGGTTAGCACGCACGCTGAGCTCCCTCGGGCTGTGATGTCCTGCCAGGCAGTGCCCTCGGTCTCATGGCGACATACAGGGAGCACGGAGTCTACATTCAAGATGCCTTTCGTGTCTTCTAAATCTCTAACCAGGTCAAATTCATTTTTACCAAAAACTACCATCTCCTCCTTCAGAAACGTACAGATAAGTAGTAAACTGTCTATGAATGAGAGTGCTCAGAGGTAGGGGTGAATTTCACTCAGGGAGAACCAAGCATATGTTTCAAAGATGGTTCCCAGAGGTCAGTGCCGCATCTCGACAGCATGAGTTTAGGGTGGATGTTGGTACAGGCTTGGACATAAAAACCTGAGACCACTGTCTTATTTTCATGTAATTCTGATGTGCTTTATTCATTTTATTTTTTACAAATTGAGGTATACTTTTCATCCAGGAAAATGCACACATCGCAAGTGTACCTAGAAGTGAATTTTTGCAAATACATTCACCCCGACGTGCTTTTCATTATAGTCCACGGACTCTTCAGTTGACCTAGAAGCTGTGAACTAGGTCTTAACTGAAGGAAAACCCTGAAGTGGACATCTGTGAGTGTAGCAGCGACTCCAGCTCCCTCAGTGTGGCACCCCGACCTCGGTGACACTGTCCACCCTGCGTCCCACCCCTTAGGTTCCTGAGAAAAAAAATAATTGACGGTAGATACTGATGACTAATAATAGCTCAAGTTTCTGTGTTTGCCTGTGACCGGGAACATCTCAATCCCTTCACCTAGGGAGAAGATGAGGGTCAGAACGGAGACCGACAGGGGATGTCTGCACGGACTGGCTGCTGACCGAGCCCTGTCGCTGGGGCAGGTCACAGCCGGTCAGAGGAACCCAGAGCGGCCGGAGCCCAGCCCGACCACGGCTGAAAGAATTCTCTCAACTTGCAGACACAGAACCGAAGTCTGGACGGGACCGGAGAGTTCCCTAAGATCACACAACCACACAACCGTCACTTGGAGGAATTTTAACAATCCGGGTGTATTTTTTTGTAGGATAAAATGTTGAATAAATAGCTCCATGGGGAATTTTAAACTAACATTTTGGGAAAACAAAGCTAATTATAAAAATTTAACAAAATATAGTTAGAAATCCAATGTACTCTTTTCCAATATAATGTGTACTCATTTTTTCTGGTGCTTACTGGTGAAATGTTGGCTTCCCTCTGTGTGGGACAACTTGGCATTTATCAGGTTAAGAGCTATTTATAAAGTAGGCAAACATTACATGTATTATATGCATAGATTCTTTAAAGGTGAATATTTATAAGGTCATTGACAATTAAATTATTTAAAATAAGTAATAATTTGAAATAAGAAATTTAAAAACCAAAACCACAGCTGAATGTTAGATACCTTCCAAATAGAATTTTATGACTCCTGACTACCACATGGGGTATTGAAACTTGTCTGTGATAGTCCTGGCCGGTCTGGCTCAGCGGTTAGAACATCGGCGCATGAACCAGAGAGTCCCAGGTTTGGTTCCTGCTAAGGGCACGTACCTCGGTTGCAGTTTGTCCCCTGCCCCGGTTGGGGTTGTGTGGGTGGCAACCAGTCGATGTGTCTCTCTCACGTCGATGTTTCTCTCTCTCTCTTCCTCCCTCTCTCCCTCCCACTCTATCTGAAGATAAATGCAAAACTGTCCTCGGGTGAGGATAAAAATAGATAAGTAAACTTGTCCACGATAGGAGAGGTGTCATGCTGACGTACCCACGTCTATGATAAATACTTTGGCTTTGTTTTATAACAAGACAAGAGGGAAAACCTCCAACCATTTTATGTTTACCAAGGACTCCAACATGCGTTTGTACTTGGGAATACTTCATTTTCAGTTCAAATTGCCCAGGGACTCAATGAAGAACACGTTTGGAAATGTGCACGCATCCCCACGGAGCATAGACACTTCTGGAAAGGAATTGTTCTTCAGACCTGCTCTTGAGTCAGCTGCAGTTGACAATGCCAGCTGCGAAGGCGGGAAGGACAGCCGCTTTGTTTGTTAGCCAAGTGAAAGTAAACACACCCGCTTGCTGCGCTAGCACAGGTGGCATGTTAACTGCGACCTCATGGTTCCCCCAGGGTCTTACAGAGAAGCAGGAGCCTGAAATCACGCTTGAGGCTGATCGAGCATAATTTGAAGCTTCGGTGAAGTGGGTGGCGTTTCCAGAGCAGGACGAGTCACACCGGGGGGCTCCCAGCAACTATGAGACGCTGCGTCTCGAAGTTCACAGGAAAACGCATCACGTTTTCGAGTCAGAGGTGTGCTTACCTGTCGTTTCTGATTGCCGGGACTCAACACCAGGGATGTGTTTTCACTCGCAAGTTCTGCCCTGACGGTGAGATTGAAGTTGGAGAAATGCGCCTGCAAAGCAAACAGGAGTGACTGTCCACAGGTTACGCTGATCGCGTGACAGCTGGTCCTGTCTGAGCAGTGTGACTGCGTGTGTGTGTGTGTGTGTGTGTGCGTATAACTCTCTGTGAGTTTGATTTTGTTTCCAAATAACGCAGTTTTTAATTAAACTGATTGGGGTAACATCAGTTCATTGAATTATGGAAGTTTCAAGTGTACAATTCTGTGATACACCATCTCTCTGTATATGGCGCTGCGTGTCCGTCACCCAAAGTCGAATCTTCTTCTCTCACCACACATTTGCCCCCTCTCTCACCCCTACCCTTTTACCGAGATAAAAAACAGTGTTTTGCTAACACACCAATGGAACTGGTGGTATCAAGAGGTGATTGTGCTCCTGCCCTTCATCCCTGCGCTCAATTTCTCACTGAAATCCGTGTTCTAACTAATTTCTATTCAGATGTATCCTTAGCCAACACGAACCTTCACCCCCGCCCAGCTTTGTACAGCTAGTTGTGAAAGAGCTACACTCTGGTCATGAGGGGTATGTAAGAGTTTGCTTACAGTTAAACATGAAATTTCCCATATTCAACAATTTGTGACTTGCAAAAACAGCAACTTAATAGGATCAAATCTAGAATTTTCATATAATTAACCAAACACTTCTATGAGAGAAATAAATACTACAACATACGATGGATTAAGTTCTAAAGTAGCTTGTTGTCAGACGGATTTGACTTTAGCAGATGTTAAAAAATGTCCTCCAATATATAGATATGCTATATAAATGTGTTTATCGATTTATATAGATGCAGGTGTAGACAGATAATCTGATCCAATACAATGAGCCCATAATATATGCTAGCGCTATTCTTTGTCATGGCGTCCAGGACTGTCTCTCTCTAAACCTTCGTCTCTGCACTGAGTTCTCAAGCGTGAGAGGAAGTACAGACTTTGGTAGGTGTTCATCTTTCGAGATGCAAAGACGAGGATAAGAAGGGCTGGAACGGCACATATCTGGAAGGGGACCTGACGATAGGAACAGACAAGGGAGGTGAGACCCAATAGCCAGGCGTGGACCACACTTCTGAGACTTCCAGCCTCGTGTTCTCTGCACAGAAGTACTCTGCTCTGCACATACCAAGTAGAGAACAGACGTGTGTGAGCACAATACCCTCACAGAGCCATGCGACCGCTTACTTTTATAAAAGTCGGTTTCCACAGGACGAGGGAGACGTTGACCTGGCTCACGTCGGACGGAAGCAGGCTGCACGTGATGGTAGCCGACTGACAGGTGCTGCAGTCCTGTGGGAACGCCCAGGGGCAGGTGTTAGTACCTGACACTTGACAAGAGACAGTTTGAAAATAGCCCGTGGCAGCTATTTTTAGGTCAACGCTGAATTCGTTCACCGGGAGAGCACACGGTAAGATTAGTGCTTGTCCTGGTTGCCTCAATTTACCAGAATTGTGCCTCGTTTGAGATCTTCAGATTTGAGCACGATCGTTTTCTTCCCGGAGTTGATACCAAGAGGATCCTGCAGGTGATCGGGTCTGCAGTTTGCATTCTGAGAAATGGAAATATTTCTTTCATCAGACAATGCCAGGTGTCGGAGGGAAACGTGATTCGGGGCAATAACATGAAGACGGTGAAGGACCGTCACTGGCACACAGGAAGGTCACCTCCGCAAGCGCGGTGTGCAGGAAGCCGCCCTGTGCGGCATGTGCACCCATCGCCAGGTGACCCCTGCGTCTCTGTGCCATCTGTGAGTATCCTAGAGAGCAGTGAGGTTGTAACGGAAAACAAAGCTTGCTGGCAGAACTTACTGGTACACCAGTCAGCGGTTTTCAACCCTACAACACCTGACTCCTTGGTCAGGGGCACTGACCTCTCTCCCCTTAGATCGTCAAATACAAAAATGACAACAGCCAACACAACAATAGCCGTCTGTTGTGAATGAATCAAAATCATACCTATTTTTTTTATCAGATCAGCAAAATATATATATTTTGGTGTGCCGCAGAATTTTAGCAATTAGTTTATGTGTGCCTTGAGATGGAGAAGGTTGAAAATCCTTAACATAAGTGATACACTTACGATAAGTGTATTAATTTTATAAATTGCTGTAATACAGAGAGCAAAACATGAAAACTCTACTGAGAAAAAAAGGTTAGCATTTATCATTCAGTGTGGTGGCTCATAGGATGATTTACGAAACAAGAAAGCGACTGTCGTCCGCAGGTGTGTATCCATCCAGTGCTACTGGAAGTCTGTCAGCCAAGGGCAAGACTGAGTCTGCGCGGGAGCGAGCGGGAGCAGCCCAGATGCACATTTATAAAGTGGCTGTTTTTGGACTGTCCCCTAGACTTCATCTCATACACCTTTGGCTCCCCCAGGACTCTTCACATCCTTGACAAAGGGTAGTGAGGACAAAGAAGGGTCCCTAAGTAGTAGGAAAAGCACAATTTTAGTCTTTGGAGGTTCTCACAAACCTGCTTTTGGGGATTTGAGGCAAACGCCAGAGGTTTTTCCTTGCCTTTGGAAAAACACTTAGATGCTACAAGCCAACGACACTGTGGCTGTGTCTTCATTTCTGAGACTACTCTGAACTTTACAAAGCTCTAAAGGGAGACCTGTGGTTTGTTTTAGGGACTGAGCCCTAACGATGAACTACGTGGAGACCACTCAGCGTGCTAGGGACAGGGGTGGGGGGGTGGGGGCGTGTGTGCAACATTAGTACTGCCTGCTGTCCCGGGACACTGCTGTGCTTTACGGCAGCCCTGGTGCTCAGTTGCGACGTTGGTGCTGCCTGCTGTCGCGGGACACTGCTGTGCTTTACAGCAGCCCTGGTGCTCAGCACCTATTCAGAAGTTTCTTTCTTGACACGTTTGAGCATCTCCAACAAATTAAAGGTGCCAAAAACATTTCGGGCGTACGTAGAAAATTGATTGTCTCAAATCTACTCTAATGGACTGCATAGTGACCCCAAAAAGACATGCCCGAGTCCTAACCCCTGGAACCCGGGAACGTCACCTGTTTGGAAACAGGTTCATTGCCATTAAGGGTCTCCAGAGGAGACGGGTCTGGATCTGGGGGTCTCTGACGCCACTGGGGACAGTGCTTACTGTAGAGACAGAGAGGCCCGGAAGGCGGCGGAGGCCGGGTCATGCCACCGCCTGGGAGGGGACGCCGGGCGACAGCACCACCAGGACCTGGGGAGCGCAGGCAGGCACCTGCCCGAGCCTCCAGAGAACCAGCACTGTGGACGGCTCGTTGTAGACGGCAGGCCCCCGGATCTGTGAGAGAACACACTCCTGCCATGTTCAGCCACTGGGTTGGGGCAGCCTGTTACCATGCAGGGAACTAATACATCCACTGCATAAGGAGTGCACGTTATTATTTAAAGTGTTTCTGAATGTCTCTCCCTGTTGCTTTGGTGAAGCTCTATTGCAGGTGGCAGACAGAAAGCTTTAAATACGTAACGACTGAGCTGACAGCGAAGACACAATTCTCCGGCACGGTGACTTACGTTGGAAGACGACCACCCACTTGGGTACAGCACGGGATAGCCATCCGATGTCAGGTTGGGGAATGAGATGGACAACTTAAGTTGTGGCATTGGGAAGTGTCCACTTTTCCTAATCTATAGGGAAAAAAATAGAAATGTAACCCTTTCTTCCTCATTCAACAGCATCCTTTTTGTCTGATGTGGGGCGTCAGCTCTCTGCTGATGATTAGGCTGTGTGATGTTTTGAACCCCCAGACCGAATGCAGATGGTTGATGACACTATACAGGGAACCAGCATAATTAAACAAGCAAAAAAACAGGATTTTGATGGTCAGCGATCCTGGGCTCAGACACAACCAGACACTGGCCCTTCTTCCTTCCACTCCCAGGATAGGACCGAGATTCAAGAGATGTCAGGATTGATTTGTTTCTTAGTTAATTTTCAATGCTCATCATCCTCTCCAACAGCCCAGTCTTTGGGAAGGAGAGAGCATGCAGCTGGCCCACTCCGGACAGGTGAGCATGCCTCTGTGTACCTCACCCCAGTCTGCTCTAATTCTGCAGATTATTTCTTGCTCCAACATGGTACACCACCACCGGATAGGCAACCAGACCTCCATCCACCTGTCTCACAGTCCTGTCCCCAGTCTGGCTGCTGTGTCCTGGCTATTGGCAATTCAGGCCGTGACACTCAGACTGACTTCAGCTCCATCCCCTCTGTTTTCATCCACGGACCCCGAATGCCCCCTTCATACCGCACTGGGCCACCCGAGCCCTGATATGTAGTCAGAAATCAGGTATCCTGTAACTAACACTTATTATTACTGGTTAAAAACAGTGCTCCCCACAGAAACACTTAAGCATATGGAAAATAAACAGAAAATACATTTCCTAGAATTCCACTGCATTGCGATACTTCAGTGTACAAGTTACCTGCCCTTATCATTTGCATATATGCAAATTATATACAATTGTATTATAACGTACAAAACGTGGTGTCCACATGTAACATGGATTATGGCCTGGCATTTTCTCGTAAACTCAGAGACCGTTTGGGACTATGACTTATTAGCCACTTAATAACAAGCACACCATCAATGCCCACTGCGGCCATGCTCCGGGCACTGTGGGGGCTTCTGACGGCTTAGTTGGCATTAACCTTCGCTCAGCACCCTGTTTTATCCATTTAGAAAACGAGGTTAGAATGAGAATAAAGATATTCCAAGTTCACAGAGTTGGGAAATAGCAGCATCAGAATTTCCCCTGAAAATGGGCCCTCGGGACTATTATAATAGCTGTGCTACCACTGAATAACTTCGCGGCAATTTATTTAAACAAGCTCATGGTGTGAAGCATGTAGATTGTGCCCAGGTTTTCACTTTTAAATGATCATAAATAACATTATTAAGAATAGCTCTGAGCATAAATCTTTGTTTGACTCACTAATAATTTCCTGTGGTAAATTGCTAGCAGTCAAGTTACTGGGTCTCACCTAAAAAGAGTTTGTATTTTAAAAAGCTCCATTCCTCCAATTTTAGATTTTACTCTAGCAAAATAATCAGAGATACAACAGAATTAATTCACAGGGATATTCTGAACATGTTATTTATTTCAACGTTATTTATAATAGTTTGAGAGTAACTGTTTCAAGTCTGGGTTTTCATAAATGGCTACGTATAAAGATCTACAACATTCAAAGTCTCTTCTTCCCTTTTGTCTTCTTTCCCACCCCTCTCTCCCTTCTGTCCGCCCCCCCCCCCCCCCTTTCTTGTGTTTGCGGAATTCTCTAACCCTGGGAAGTGGGTGGGGCTAGGAAGACCTGGTAGTCTGAATTCTAAAATCTATCCCCATAGTAGAATGACTGGCACTTATGTTACTTCCCAGGGTATAGCTTATCATAGGCATTTCGGCAAAGAGCACAGATAAACATAATGAGAAGCATCATGTGAGTATATATTTATTCCACTTTGTAAGAGAACTTGCTTTTTCGTTGTTGACAATTCCCAAAGAGACTGAGACCATCTTCACCTATAATAATGTTGATTATTTTCTACTTTTGAATCTGTATTTAAATCCATCATTTGAAGTGGACCCTCATTACTTGAGTGACATTCACGTGAGTCTGTGTCTGTAAGTGGGCGCTACTGCCAATGAAGGTCCACGCAGCGCCACAACTACTTGCTGAAGTGGAAAGGAAAAGTCTGCCGTGGACAATTCCCAAAGAAAATTATTGTGATAAAGAAACATCCCTTAAAGAGGTGGTAGTGCGAACTTATGTTATAGTATAATACATACAGAGTAGCAATGATACATATTAATTTGTTGAGTAAAGAAAAACAGTACCAAGACAATTTTAAATAATCCCTTTCTGAAGTAGCTGTAATTACTTTTCAAAAAGTACTTCACTCAGTGATACTAAAAATAATAGTAATAATGTAAATATTATAGGTAGTATCTATTTGGTTTCATAGTTTATTTCTTCTAGGAAATCATTCTAATAAATTTTGTCTTATTATTGGGAAAGTAGAGCATCAGGTCTTTGATATTGTTTCAAATATAATGATCAATTTGAATAAAATTATTTTAAAATAGTAAAATTATATATAAAAGTATGCTGCTATATACAGAGTGTTAAACCAACATGTCTGTTAATGCTTCCATGCAATTTATTAATTTATAAATAACTCCTTACAATACTAATTTGAAGGCAATTTCTTACCAAGTAGAAGATATTAATTTCATTTCCAATGTCCTCGGTAGAATTAATAATTTCGGGAACTGTGTCATTGGCCGTGATTGAAACATGGTGCTCGCTGGCAGAGCTGGAGAGAGTGCACAGGAAGAGGGAAAATAAAACACAACAGAGTTTAACTTGTATTTCCATCTTTCTCTTTCCTCATATCAGGGACCCCACAAAAAACAGTTACAGAGATTTCAAGTCCGAGGCCAACTCTTTTACCCTGAAGCCTAAAATGAAATCTTTGAGGAAAGTGTGGATTATATATAATTTAGTTCAATAGTCACTGATACCTAAATGGCCTTAAAATGCTAAAATATGCATCATTTTTCAAATAAAAAGCTCATTGTTACCCAATGAAGAGTTTCCATGAATTCGCTAATATCATGTACATTTGATGAATAGCCAGGCTAAAACTTGGTATTTGTAATAGTGCTGAAATACTGAATTTTTAAGTCTAGCAGTAAATATAGAACTTTAAATAGATTTTTAAAAAATTGTTACCTTTTCACTATTTAAAGTTCTATATTTACTGCTAAACTTAAAAATTAAGTATTTTCCATACCACTTCTTCATGATCTCTGGATGAACTTAGGGAATAAAATATAACACATATTTTTAAGCAGCACTTCAGTCAAGAGAAAACAAATAAAAAAACATAAGTATTTGCCAAAATTTGACTTTAAATAAATTAAAAATTCTTGGGAAAAGAGTCAATGTCCCAAGAGAAGTGGAAATAGAAAAATAGACCATAGTTAATAAAATTTAAAGGCTAAGAAACATAAGCAAAATCTACATGCATAATCCTCTCATTTTTGTGGTCTGTTACCACAAAGAAATAAAGTGATAAGACTTTTAAACTAAACTTGACACTGATTCTTACACTTTTTACATTCCTTGTGCAGCTCGACAAACGTGCAATGAGAGAAAAAAATATAAGAACGATGCCCAAGACATGCGCGTGACCTCTGAGAACGTCACCTGTGCGAAGGGCTCTGGGCCTTCACTTGCACGAGGATGGACGCCGGATCCTTGGCGCTCCACGTTTTAGTCTATTTAGGGTGCTGGCACTCCAACTTCAGAGTACATGAGAATCCCTGGAGGGCTACTTAACACGGGGTTCTGGGCTCCTCCCCCAGGGTTTCTGAGGGGTAGGTCTGGGGTGAGGCCTGAACATGTGCCTCTCTAATAAGTGACTAGGTAGTTCTGATGCCCTTGGCCAGGGACCAGCGACCGCAGTCAGAGCCCCTGTATCAGCAGAGAGGCACCCACCCCAGCAGGCAGCCTGCTCCTACCTGGAGAACTGGAGCCCGGCTTCGTATTTGACGGGGATGGAGATGCTGACCTCATTGTCGAACAGGGTTTCCGGCGGCTCCTCACTGTCACTAGAAAACACACAGGACGTTCAGACAACTCATTCAACCACCGGCTGTTTAAAGGTGTTTCTGAGCAACCGAAAGAGAAGCTTACCAAATAAAGGCATGAAAGAGTTCAATTCTTGATTTTTAATGGGGTGAGGAGGGAGGTGGCGATGGATGTGGTTCAAAGGTCTCAAGAAGATTCTGAAGAGCAGCTAGGTTGAAAACCACACTGACTCAGCCGGAAGATTCACTGACTTCCATCAGGGTGATAATAAGAACCCTGGGGTCAATTCTAAGAATGCACAGGCTACGGGGTTTCTCGCCTAGGAATGTGGATTCCGTAGGTCCAAGTTGCGGCCCTGGACCTCTGTGTTTTTAACAGGTGATTCGAACTCACTTATCAGAGATGAGGATCTTATAAAGAGATACAGCCAGGGTCACATGACTGAGAGTAAATCTAAATTCTTCTGTCTTCACTGTAATGGTCTTTGCGTGCTAAGTACTCAATGCTCACATTATTTGTTAAACTCTTATTTATCCCCTTGGTTTTAGTTATCATTCCAATTATATATTATGTAAACACATGCAGACATGTGTGTACACACAGGTACACACACAGGTGTCTCATGATCCCCTGTATTCAAAGAGCAGGGATGAGGAACTTGACAGTTGGCAACACGGGTTCTGGGATGAGTTTCTGGGAGTGTTGTTGTACATGCACACACTCGCAACCATCTACTCTCTGTGCCTTGGTTTTTCTCCTAAAAAGTGGGGGTTTATTAGATAATGAATGTCTGATGAGTCATAAGTATAAAATGCTTAACATAGGAAATAACGTGTCAGCTTTCATTATTATTACACGTACTCCTCCTCCAAGTGACCAGGAACCTAGCATTCTGTCTCACAGAATGGTCAATGGGTACCTTCTCCCTCTCTCTTTTTTTAAATATGGTCTTTATTGAGTTTTTTAGAGAGAGTGGAAGGGAGAGAGAGATAGAAACATCAATGTGAGAGAGAAACATCGATTGGCTGCCTCCTGCTTGCCCCCTACTGGGGATGGAGCCACAATCCAGGCTTGTGTCCTGACTGGGAATCGAGGAACCGGGACCTCTCAGTCCACCGGATGACACTCAATCCACTGAGCCACATGGGCCTGGCCCCTTTTGCTTTTTCAGTCGATGTGTTCTATATCTTTCAGAAACTTTGACTGATTTGGATATAATTCATTAGACTACTGAAAGGTATCATAAAACTAAGTCTGTCCAATAATTTAGTTGACCTTGATGGGCAGCCAGTAAAAGTTTCAAATTAGCAGAGCCTGCCAACTTCCAAATAGATTTAGATGCAGTTTGACAGATAACAGTGATGTGTGATTACAACATGTCCTGCAGAACAAATGGTTTAATCCAACTAGAGGGTGAAATTATTTTTATAAAATTAAAATCTATTTGTTTTTCTAATTACTCACACACATACCCTCACGCACACATACAAACCAACCTTGTTGTGTTTAAATGGACGGTCACATTTTCCATGAGATAGGATGTGTTAAATTGAAATAATATTTTGAAAGTTACCTATGAAATAAAAATATACATCATTAGTTTAGGCTCAGACAAAGAAAACATTTACTTCGATTAGAATATTCAGTTACATAACTGATTTTATCTAAGCTCAAGTCATGAAGCTATTTAAGAAATATTATCTTATTAAATAAAAACTCATCACATCTCAAAAAAAATAAGATATAACATACATGTACTTTTCGACATAAAATGTAATATACTTTGCATATTAATATTGAATTTAAACACTTTATTCAAATTATATTAATATTTCATACTAACCACAAATAATTTATACTACAAACCATTACCATGAAGGTGCATCCTATTTGTTTTATTATATTACCAGAGTCTATAAAGTCACAATCATAAACAATATAATTATGAAATAATCATAATTAAAGTCTCCTGATAAAGCTTCCAATATCAGCAACCATCTATACACATTTATTGTAAAATAGAGGAAAACATATTTGGTTCCATTAATTTGATAGTGTAAAAAAGTTTTGGCCCTTTAAGAAATAAGAACAAAGTGAAAAAAAAATACTCGTTATTTAGAAATATGTAAACTATTTTAAAATAATGAGTTTTGCTTGCAATAGTTTGCATAGTTAAAATACCTCATAAAAACTGGGAAATGTCATTGTTATATTCACACTGACACGGAGAATTTACTTTTGAGAAATGATGTCTGAGCACATGTCTGAATTATATGATGCATGATTCTTCATGGACACCGAAAGGCGCACCAAAAACTCGATTTTTTTTTTTTTTTTTTTGCAGAGATATGTCAACAGCAGAGTTCTAGTCCAAGAGTCCTCATAATAATGGTTATAAAACTGTATTTCCCGTTCTCAAAACTAATCTTGGTTTGTGCTAAGTTTAAATTTTGGCCAGCAATACAGATAAGCCAAAGTAAACAATTCATAGAAACTACATAAAATGGTGTCTTTGTAATTAAGTGCTGGACAGGGCAGATATTTAAAGCTCTTTTAACCAGCGTAAGCACCATCCACCGAAGGGATGGCTAGAATTCAGGGGCCATGAGATTTGCATGGCTGCACCATATTCTTTGCAGGGATTGATTTATTTACTCATTTAACTGTATTTTATTTCATTTTGGTGTTTTCCTCTCCCAGGTGTACCTTGAGCTATATTAGAAGATACTTCCTCTAAAGATCGACAGCTCTGCAGCTTCCTTCCTGCTCTTCAGTAGCAATCACAGGCCCAGCAGAAGCTTCGCTGGGGGCCTGGGACAACGGCAGACCACCGGAGAGCCTGCCGGGGCCTCTCAGGAGCTGCTCTCCTCCTGCCTTCCCTTCGCCCCACGACTGTCTGGGCACTCCTGGCGAGCCCAAACATCGAGGGCCGACCCTGGCAGAGTGGTGGGTGCGGTGGGGCAGCTGCCTGTTGCATGCTGAACTGACCCGGAAATGCTTCAGCTAAAACTCTAGATCTCGACACCGAAGCATAGTCTGAGGGTAAAGGCCGTGTACGAACAACTTGCACGTTGTCGAGATGACCTTCCCATGTCTCCACGGGTGACACGAGACACTGTGATCGAGGCTTTTACCCGAGCAGGAAGGACTTGCTGAAGAAAGGATGACAAGGTTAGTAAATAATTCCGATCGTAATGAGGGTCTCTACTGGTTGGAATCTAACATGAAGCAGGACACTATTCTCTGAGAAACTGAGATAATTCCAGGGCCAATTAAAGCAGGCAAAGGAAGGAGTAGACAAAAATTGGTATTTCGTGTTTTCATGTCAAATTAGAGGAGTTATGGGTGTCTTTTTTCAAATGTGAAGGATGTTTTATAAATTTGTAGAGAAGAAATTCAATTTCACAGTAAATTATATTTGGGATGGCCATGAAATAGACTTTATGAAGAGGTTCCAAAAAATAAATTGGTATATCTTGTTAGTGCCATAAACTACAATGGACACAGAAGAGATTTTATTGCATTAGGTGATAATTACCATGATTCATAGTTTCCTGGATCTCTAGTGACCATGCCACATATATGAAGAGGAAAGGCCTTTCTGAATTCTCATTGGCAAAAAGAAGAGCTAAGGTATTTTATTATTGCTACGTGACTAACATTTCCAGATGTCCAGCCCTGTGTTTATCAACTTCTTCAGATGAGTGTTAAAGATGGAAGGGATCTATTTTGAAGTCTTATATTATTAAACATTATAATATGAGAAAGTGGGAATAAATATTGGGAATAGTATTTCCCTTTTTCGTTTAAGTCTAAGTTTTAAGTAAGTAAAGTATCTTCGTATCTGAATCATTTTGATTAATTAAATATTTTCCTCCTTAACTCAATAGTGAATAGAGGAGGAAATATTTATACTGAAAAGTAACCTTCAATGGAAAAAGATGCAAATACCTTGTTTATCATTGAGTGAGCTAATTATTCTCTGTTTTTCATGGAAACAAATGTTGTCTTTAATTTTGAATGTATTTATTATTTAATGAGAGTGCTTGCTTTACTTCTATACAATTACTATGGGAGGTTCTAGCCAGGGCAGTTAGGTACGAAAAATAAATGAAAGAATGCCTCTATTTGCAGATGACATGATCTTACATATAGACTATCTTTTGGAATCCTCCAATAAACTATTAGAAGTAATAAATAATCCCAGCAAGGTGGCAGGGTAAATGATCAATATTCAAAAATTCATTGGATTTCTATGTATTAGCAATAAACAACCTGAAAATAAATTTAAGAAAATAATTCCACTTAAAATAGCATTAAAAGACATGAAATGCTTAGAAATAAATTTAACAAAGGAAGTACAAATCTGGTACTCTAAAAACTACAAAACATGTTTTTAACTTTATTTTTATTGTCAATGCTATTACAGATGCCCCCATTTTCCTTCCCTTTGCACAAAACATTTTTGAAAGACATTTTAAAATTCTAAATAAATGTTAAGACATCCCATTGCTGTGGACAAAAAGACTTACTATTTTTAAGATGGTAATACTCTCTAAATCGACTTACAGATCAATCCCTAGCAAACTTCAGAAAATAACAAGCTGATCCTAAAGTATAAATGGAAACGCGAGGGCCAACAGCTTTAAAAAAGAGAATGGTTGGAAGACTTACATTTTCTGATTTCAAACTTGCAACAAAGATACAATAATAAAAACAGTGTGGTACCAACATAAAGTTAGAACATTGATCAGTGGAATACAATGAAGAGTCAAGAAATAAACTCATGTGTTTATAGTCAACTGATTTTCAATGAGAGAGCCAAGATAATTCAAAGGGGAAAGAAAATGTCTTTTAAACAAATGGTGTGGGACAACCTGATATCCACACACAAAGAATGAAGTAGGATTCTTTCCTTACACCATACACAAAAGTTCATAGAAATGGATCACAGACCCGAATGTTAGAGCTAAAAAACCATAGCACTCTTGGAAGAAAACATAGGAGTAAATCTGTGGGAACTTGATTAGGCAAAGCCTTCCTAGATACGACATCAAAAACATGAGTGACAAAAGAATAAATAGGTAAGGTGAATTTCATCAAAGTAAAAACGTTTATGCTTAAAGGACACCACCAAGAAAGTGAAAAGACAACTTACAGAATGAGAGAAAATATCTGCAAATCCTAAGTCTGATGAGAGACTTGAATGTAGAATACCTGAGGAACTTACAGCTCAGTGCCAGAAAGACATCCCGATTGAAGAAGACTGAAAGAATCTGAACAGACATTTCTATTCGGATCTGCACACGGCCAATAAACACATGAAAAGATGTTCAGCAGCATTAGCCACTCAGGAAATGCAAATTAAGACCCCAGTGTGAAATGACCTCACACCCACGGAGATGGCTATCACCAAAAAGACACACAGGGACAATGTGCAGGGGGTGGAACCCTCAACATTGCCGGTAGGAATTTAAAAGGGTATGAAGGGCCACTTTGGAAAAGTTTTGCTGTTCCCCAAAATGCTACACGTAGTTGTCATATAACCCGGCAATTCCATCCCTAGATGTACACCCAAGAGAACTGAAGACATGTCCACACCAATACCTATACACAACCATGCCTAGCAGTGTTATTCATAGTAGGCAAAAGTAGAAACAACCTCACTGCCCAGTGACTGGTGAATGAATGAATAAAAGGTGATATATACACACAGTGGAGTAGTATTTGCAAATAAAAGGAATGAACTACTGGTACACAAAGGGACCTTGAAAACACCATGCTAAGTGAAAGAAGCTGGTCACAAAAGACTACATCCTGTATAATTTCATTTACACAAAATGTCAGAATAGGCAAATCCATAGAGAAAGAAAGCAGATTGGTGGTTGTCTAGGGATCAGGGAGGGGCTATTGGGGGAAAAAATGGCAATAATGGGTAATGTGTGCAAGGTTTCACTGGGGGTGTGAAAGGCTCCTACGATGGGTTGTGGTGATGGTTCACAACTCACAATTTGGTGAATGTACTAAAACCCACTGAATTGTCCACTTTAAATGAGTGAATTGGCCCTGGCCAGTTTGGCTTAGCAGTTAAGAGAGCCAGCCCTGGTCAAGGGCAGGTACCTGGGTTGCAGGTTCGATTCCTGGCCCTATTCAGGGTCATGCAGGAAGCAACCAATCGATGTGCCTCTCTCATATTGATGGTTCGTTCTCTCTCTCTCTCTCTTTCTCCCTCCCTCCCTCCCTCCCTTCTACTCTGTCCACAAATCAATGGAAAAATATCCTCAGGTGAGGATTAGCAAAAAAGAGGCAGAGAAATAACAGCGGCGTTTTCTATACAAAGTTCTAAACCAACCTGTTTAAAAGGTCAGAAAAGTCTGCTACTCAGAGGACTGCCATACGAGCATTTTCTAGCTCTGTGTTATCAGATAAGTTACCTCCCATAAATGTGTCATTTTGCCTTGGTGTTTGCGTGGGACTCATGCAATAATTGCCTTTTGATTTTAAGAACTCACATTTAAACTCAGTTTTCATCGACATCACCCTATGATACCAGGAGAAAGAGTTGCATATGTGCCTTTGAGAACATTATTTTTAACATCCGATTGCCACATGCACTTTGGATGATGAGCTGCTCACCATTTCTCCGCTCCTCAGGAAGGGGTACCCGACCTTACAGGTGATGTTATGATTGGATTCGCAGCTGTCTTTCTGGATCGCCTAGGAGGGGAGGAAACAGCCTTAGAGCAGACACGCGGGTGAAGTCCTTGAGCTGCGTGTTCTGGGGTCTCCCCAGCTGTGCCTCGCGCTGTCTTGCTAAGATTGATCTTCCGATTCCGTTGGGAAAGTCACAGCATTCTGGGGTGACCTGTCCCACAGCCCATGGAAAACTGGAAACACCACTTGGATTAAGGGGGCCTTTGGGCAGAGTCCACCACACCGTTCTGTCCAGATCCTCCTTCCAGTGCGAAGGGGAGAGCTCACAGCACCTGCCCCCACCCCCGCTGGTAGGGGCTGCAGGAAAGAATCTTGCACAGAGAAGCCCTTAGGGGAGGGTCGAGCAGTGGGGGAGGGGAGCATGGGCTGGACCTGGGACCACCAGGGCTTGAATCCTGACTCCACCCCTCTCGGTTTTATCCTGCGAAGACTCCTGATTTCTGTCAAGTGGGTCAGTTATACTGGATCCCATTGAATACCAAATGCCATTCAACACGAGCCACCATTGTTCTCTATGCCCTAAGGGATGTGATGCTCCCAGGTCGATCAGCGCAACATCGGCTGCAAGAGGCAATTACAGACACGTTCGTGCGGAGAGAGGGATTTACTTTAGAATCTCTGCTACTTCATCCTTACTCACGGAGGAACCAATGAGAGCAGAGTGAACCCTGGTGGGCGCAGAGGGTAACCGAGAGAAGACAGGCACGTGACGGGCACTGGGCAGGGTGACCCAGAGGAGACGGGCATGTGACGGGCACTGGGCAGGGTGACAGAGAGGAGACGGGCACTGGGCAGGGTGACAGAGAGGAGACGGGCACTGGGCAGGGTGACCCAGAGGAAACGAGCATGTGACGGGCACTGGGCAGGGTGACCCAGAGGAGACGGGCACTGTGACGGGCACTGGGCAGGGTGACCCAGAGGAGACGGGCACTGTGACGGGCACTGGGCAGGGTGACCCAGAGGAGACGGGCACTGGGCAGGGTGACAGAGAGGAGACAGGCACGTGACGGGCACTGGGCAGGGTGACCGAGAGGAGACGGGCACGTGACGGGCACTGGGCAGGGTGACAGAGAGGAGACGGGCACATGACGGGCACTGGGCAGGGTGACAGAGAGGAGACAGGCACGTGACGGGCACTGGGCAGGGTGACCGAGAGGAGACAGGCACTGGGCAGGGTGACCGAGAGGAGACACTGTGACGGGCACTGGGCAGAGCAGAGGAGACGCATTGTTGAGGTTCTGTGTTGTGAGCTGCTCTCGGCCAAGGTCACAGAGGAGGCCCACACAGCACTGTCCCCACATCACCTCTCTGCACCTTTGGATTCATAACTGACACCTGTGACTGTGGCACACGACATGTGTTCCAGCCCCTCAGTCACGTCACCAAATGGGGAACTTACAGTGAAGATATAACTTTATAGGAGCTAGCCAATAAATTTAGTATGATGCATAATAAGTGCATTGGCTTTTCGGATGGATAACATTAAAATAATTAGTTCAGCCCTGGCCAGTTTGGCTCAACGATTAGAGCGTCGGTCAGCGGCCCAGAGAGTCCCAGGTTTGGTTCCCGCTAAGGGCACGTACCTCGGTTGCAGTTTGTCCCCAGCCCTGGTTGGGGTCCTGTGGGTGCAACCAGTCGATGTGTCTCTCTCACATCGATGTTTCTCTCTCTCTTCCTCCCTCTCTCCCTCCTGCTCTGTCTGAAGATAAATGCAAAAAATGTCAGGTGCCCACAGGAGGCAACCGATGGTTGATTCTCTCTCACATTGATGTTTCTTTCTCTCTCCCTTCCTCTCTCTCCAAAAGAAATAAACATATCCTCAGGGGAGGATTAAAAAAATAATCAGTACTGCAGTATGAAAGAGAGGTTCACTAAATCATGATTCCAAGAATAAGTAAATGAAAAACGGAAAGTTTACCTCAATTCCTGAAAAAATGAGATTTGGAGAATAATGCACCATGGTTCTAGTATTGTAGGCACTGTCTCCTTTATTTTTGACGGTGAGGGTGACGTTGAACTTGTCATTGTGGGATCTGACGACCATCAGGTCCTTGTCCATGGTGGACACCTCCAGGGCGAGGTCTGAGATACATGTTTCCTTGTTTCCACAATCTTTGGCAAAAGGGATCTGAAACGGCCACGGGAAAGCATTTTCCAGAGTGTAGTTAAGCAATGATGGAGTAAAAGCAACAGCCTGCTGACAAAGAAGGTCACCAACTCATAGAGAGGAGCCATCTCACCAGAGACACCATGAGACATTTTATCTTCCTTCCTCCAATTTGTAGGGAACAGGAATAAACTTACTTCTGGATACAAATTCTTCCAGTCCTCTAAAGAACGTTAGACTGTTCGAATAGAATGGTTCCAAACACCAGGTCAAGTACCTTAAGGACTAAATCTGTCAGGGAACACGTCCACTGAACTCAAGGCCACCAGAGCTTAGGAACATCACAGAGTTCCATGGGGTGTGGGGTGAAAATGCTCAAGTCACAAAACTGGGAGCTTTCCTGGACTCCTCTTCTTCATGAAGCCCTTCCTCTTCGTTCAGTTCCCATGGGTCTCAACTCTGGGGTGCGCCCTCTGACGTCCCGAAACGGGCAGAGTGCCCTGGAGCTCCGGCACCCCTCCCTGGCACACCCCCAGTGACCACCTGACACCTGTTTCTGAGGCTGGGCTGCAGCTCTGAGCCTGGTGTGTGTGACAGTCCAGAGGTTTGGAAGGAAGGAAGGAGAGTGGAGAATAGGAGCCTGTGGAAAATGAATTCTCGGTCCCCAGTGTTTCTCTGCTCCTGCCCCGCGTGGGACCCCTCCTCCTGCGGTTCGCCCACTCTTCCTCGGGGGCGGGGCAGCGGACTCTGAGTGTGGGAGCAGGACCTGGGGGAACGCAGTCAGTCCCTTCCCATCTCTTCTGCTCCTGGGGCAGTGGTGTGCCCAAGGGAAGCCAGATCCTGCTCTATGCCTCCAACCTGCAAGTTTTATGAGGTGGGTCCCCTTGAAGAAGGCCTGATACTGCTGAGCACGGCTGGTGACCCATTTGGTTCCCTGTGGCCTACGTGATTCAGTATGAGATCACCCCGTATGCCTAGAACAGTTTCAAAGAAATAAAGTCAAGTGTTTTAATGTTCGTTAGGAAGAAAAGGAGCTCCATCTGGTCAACCCATGTCTTTCTTTCAACTCATCCTGAATTCAGGAGAGATCAAAACAGGTGTCATTTATAAGTTCCCTTAACCTCCAACAGGAGAAAGTTTAAGAAGTTTGAAAAAGTCTACAGGAGTCTAGATCTTTCTTTTTAAAAACATAATTGATCAGGGTTGTGTGTGCCTGTTGGGATGATGGAATACATCGTACCTTGCATGTACACATGCGTGTAATTCTAAATCAGTTCTATACAGTATGTATGTGTGTGTGTCTGTTTATGCATTTTGAGTTTTTTCTTAATATGTTTAGAAGTAGGTATTCCAAATTAAAAAAAAAAAATGACTTACATATTCATGTACTGAATTTGGGAGAGCATCATCAAGAATGGGCCCGTTTTCGGGATCCGTAAGATTGAAATCCACGGTCACTCGTATGGAATCCCGGAAGTCATGCTTGTCCTAGAGGTCGAACATAAAACATGTCATTGGTGTCACGCTCACTGGATGTTCTGCCCCCGTGAGAACCTCGGGGACATTCCTGTGCACCTGATCTGACATGTCACCTCATCGGACTCTGCTTTGCTGGGACAGGCTGTCCTCTGCCTGGCCCAGGCCGCAGCGGGAAGGCAGCGGCTTCGGGAGGTGACCAGCTGACTCGGCCCTGCTGCTTGGAGGGCCCACTGGAAGGAGGGGGTGCGGCCCCTCGTCCTGTCGGGACACCACTCAGAGCTACTTTGAACAGTGTCATTTCTCAAGACCTCGGGATGGAAGCCAGTAGGTCACACTTGTGGGAAAGTCTCCAAAGCCAGGACTGCAAGCTCCTTGGAGCCGAGCTGCAGTCCATCGGACACTGTGCGTCTTGATTTGCAAGAATCGTACACCGTGGACGGTGTGTAAATGGTGCGAATACGGTCAGACCGTTCAGACGATCCCCAGTGACAACATCATTTATGGCCTGCCCACAATTACGAGCTTCCTACACGTGCCTGAGAGCTGCTTCCAGAGTCCTCCGAGATGAGTAACTACACAGCCATCGTGCAGATGGAACACCGAACCCCTCAGACCGCACGACTTCGCCAAAACCCCTGGGATACAGACCCGTCCTGGCTGAGTCCAAGTGTCCGAGTGGCCATTAAGATCCAAAGAAGTTTGGAAACAAGTTTATTCCTTTTACTACGAGTGCTAGATCCTAAATGCTGGAGAAATACACTCCTGTGACTCTCGGTAGGTGATCACCTCTGGCTTCCTGCGTGGTCAGCCCTGATGAGCTCACGGAGGAGGGACAACTCCGGGTTGTTGTTTCTTCCTAATCATACACTGATCTTCGTGTTGACGGGAGTAGAACATGTCCTCCCACGCTCCTGTCTCTAGCCGTGACTTTCAAAATATAGAATGTGAATCCATCAATTCAGAAACATGTCTGAATTGGGGAGAAATCAGTCTGTTCCTTCAAACCTCCAAGATCAGGTCCAAGGCCCTGAGTCTCAATCTCGGTTACTGAAATCAGCGTTTCCTCATTACAGCTGTTGTGCGCTTTCTGTTTGTTTGTTTAAGAAAACATTTAAGCCCTGGCCAGTTTGGCTCAGCGGTTAGAGCGTCCGCCTGCGGTCCGGAGAGACCCGGGTTCGGTTCCCGCTAAGGGCACGTACCTCGGTTGCAGTTTGTCCCCGGCCCTGGTCGGTTGTGCGGGTGGCAGCCACTCGATGTGTTCCTTTCACATCGATGTTTCTCTCTCTCTCTCTGTTCCTCTCTCTCCCTCCCACTCTACCTGAACAAAAAAATGGGAAAATGTCCTCCGGTGAGGATAAAAAAAAAAAAAAGAAAACATTTAAGAAACTCTTGCCCTGAGTAGGGAATGCTCCCTACATGAACAGCAACTCAATAACATGCATTTCAAGTGGTTCAAACTAACTTGCAGCTAGTTCTAGAGATTGATGCCTGGCTTTCCAAGGCTCCGCCCCCCTCACAGAAAGACACCCAGGCAGCCCAGAGCCTACAGGAGACAGAAAACACCAGACCGTGCCCTGCGGTTTCAAGCCACCGGGTGAAACACCGTTCAGGACAAGAAGGGATCTCAGAACGCACGTGGCCCAACACCCCCTCAGGCGTTTACCCTTCATCACCCACATGTGACCGGCAAGACCCACAGAAGCGGTGTCTGCAGGTTGAAAGAAGAAATGACGGACGGGACCGGTCTCGTTGCCTGGTGCACGGCCCTAGGACTCCACACGGCACGGCTGCCGTGACACACAGCGGGGAGGAAGAGCATTTCAGGAAACTGTACTTGGGAACGAACAGGTCCCATCCAGGCCTGTCTGATACAAGTGAACACACAAAATAAAGTGTGTTTCCTGATAGGCCCTTTGAAATAAAACAGTAAGATTCGACGGACTTGGAATAAGACGTCTATGCTCCATTCTCCACTGGGAACAAGGCAGCGGTGACACATGATTTACTTGCCAACATGTAGAAGAAATGGGAGGCGCACTTGGATCCCCGCACGGTGATGTTTGTTTGACTCTTTCTCTCCTGGGTCCCAGAGAAGAAACTGCGGGATATCTGTCTCTGGGAGTCCAGGGTGACGCGGTACTGCATCTCTATAAGATTAAAAAGGACAGTGGGCGGAAAGGTTTTGGGGTGATTTCAAAGCATCCAGCTCATTAAGTTAGCATGACAGACAAATCTCTTGGGAAACTAGTCAACAAAAAGCTTCTGTTGGTCAGTAAACCTACACCGCGGTAGCTCGGTGCTGTTCAGTCCTGTAGAGAACCCTGAAGGACTCTGCTTTGTGAGTTCACCACACTTTTAACATCTACTCACACCTATTTCGTAATATATATGTATACATACACATGCGCGTGCACACACACACACACTCACACTCACTCGCTCGCCTACATATCACCTAATTTCTGGACCATGTCTGTGTTTACTGGGTTTACATGCTTAGAATAGTGATTATGTTATATTTCAAGGGAGACAAAAATACACATTAATGACACTTTCACCCATTTTATAAAAACTGCCATTTCAGACTATGTTGAAAGCATATAATAAAAAAAAGTGGACTACATAAGTTGAATAAAGTAAGCACACCACAACAGGGATTTCTATGAAGGCTTCAATCTTCCACTGATCATGTAGTTACCGTATCAAAATTAATAAGACTGAAATGATGTCCCACATGCAAGGGGAAATCGTCATTTGCCATTCCTGTTCCTCACTTAGCTTCCAGTCAGAGGACAGTGGCAGAGCCTGAACATGCACCCAGAGCAAACTAAGAAAAGTGGACTTTAGAGATGGATGGTTTTTCTCATCCACTTCTGTTTGGTTTGCAGTGAATTACGTTTCTGCAGCCAATGGCCTTCCTAGTTTTGACTCCAAGGTATTTCAATATCATTTTAAAAAGCCTTAGAAAGTGCAGTGTGTGGGAGGAGGGGGACACCTGAGTGGCAGACTCTCAGAAATGAGGGTCAGCGGAGTGAAGCAAAGGGACCTTGCGAAGGTGGGGGGCCCAGCTTTTGGGTCCTCTGCACTTCCAGCCCTATAGGCAGAGGGACGGGAGGCCTCTTCCCGAGAACCCCAGCAAGGACATGGAGCCCAGTTCCTAAACACTATCTCTGAAAGGTCTCTCTCTCTCTCTATTACTATTATTATTTTTTAAGCAGTAAGTGTAAAGCTAAGGGGAGCCCTGGAATGTTGAGACCATCACACAGAGTTTCTGCCCCAGATTTCTGGGTTCCAACATCCATTTCTCCAACAACAGGTTTTTTTCAAGGTCCCACATGTTCATGGGGCATATGGGCCGTGTGATCCCGACTGCGGGGGAAACGCAGCTCCTCATGAACTCGTCCTGCTGGGGTGACTGTCCTGTCCTCCCGCCCCAACGTCCCTGCTGTGTGAATGACACTTACCAGCCTCGTACACCGTGTCTTCTTTGGACTTCAGTTTCACATCGAAACACACCATAGCCTCTATGCACACTGTCTCCTTTCCCTCCATCTGACAGTTCTTCTTCTGAATGTTCACTTTATTCGGAGTAAAATTCATGGTCACTGTAACTACTGCCACGTCTCGGGACCTGGAGACACACAGACGATGGTGACGCCCCCATTTTCACATGTACAGAGGCCACCGCTCGGGGAGCTCAGAGTGAGTGCTCTGGAGGGGACGGTCCTTCGTGGGCAGTGTGGCGCGAGGCTCCATTTCTCGGGGAATTTCATACAGACGAGATTGTACCTGATGTCCTGACGACACTCGGGTCGTTATAGGACCATCTTAGACTTTTGTTTCTAACGGGTAGCAGAATGCCACCCCACAACGTGACCGAAGGAGCTCAAGACATGCCACCCCAAATATGCCACATCAATATGCTGACGATTTGAGCTGTCGGCCCTGGGAGAACACAAAGGCAGGAACAGGCTTCCCGTGAACTCCCTTCCCGCAGGAAACAGAGCCTCCAAAAGGGACACAAGAGCCCCCCACCCCAAGTCTCATCAGGCAGGGACCCTGACTCGGCACCGGAGAGGGACCACAGGTGCACACCACACCCAGACCACCTCGTCACCAGGCGTCACACTCCCTGCGGCCTCCTAGGGGCCGGCCCATCTTTCCCACGAACCATCGCTCCTGTAGGAGACCAACACTCTCCCTGTTCAAGTGGTGTTTAGCCTGAGTTCTAAGCCACCGCAGGGAGTTACTCAGTTTCCCCTGGGTATCTCCCACGGATCCACGAGGTATATAGTTCGTTTAATTCCGGAGTAACAGTGCAGACAGGAACTAAACGTAAGTACTCTCTGATCCTGGTGGCTTCTGGTGTCAGTGAGCCCCCCCCAAAGCCACAGCCTTCCCAGGCTAGTGTGCTGGTCTCCAGTGGTGACTCCAGGAGCTGTATGTGCAGCTACATGTACAGCACCCGGGTATACAGTTATATCCATAGTAACTATGTATATCATATATAGCAACTGTATAGATAATTTTATGTATAGCAACTGTATATATAGTTATATGTATAGCTAAAACCTTTTTTTTAATATAATGGTTATTATCTGTATATGATTTAGGGTACAAATTTCATTTGACCATTAGTTTTATCTTAAATTATGACAAAGCCATCGATTTTCAGGTCTCTGTCTTCACCGCAGTCTTTCACAGTTTTGTTTACTACTCTAGCAGATAAATTTTGGGAGAAAAATGACCATTGAGGTTTGTTTTCACCTGAATTGTATTAAGCCAATGGTCAATTTGGAAGAATCAATTTGTGTACTTTCCATCAAGACTCGTATCATAAATATAATTTTTTTAAATATATTTTTTCTTTATTGATTTTTAGAGAGAGAGGAAGGGAGAGGTAGAGAGAGATAGAAACATCGATGAGAGAGAACATCAATTGGCCGCCTCCTGCATGCCCCCCACTGGGGATCGGGCCCACAACCTGGGCATGTGCCTTGACCAGGAATCAAACTGGTGACCTCTTGGCGCATGGGTCGATGCTCAACCACTGAATCATACTAGCCGGGCCATAAATATAATTTTATTCATTAAATCCTTCCTTTATTTTCTTAATAAAGTCTGTAACATTTTTAAAACTTTTTATACAAAATTATTATTAATGTTATTCTTCATATATTTTAACCACTTTTTTCAAATAGAACCATTTTTGAAATTGTATTTAATTAGTTAAAGCTAGTTATTAATGCTATTAATTAATAAATTATTTTATTAATGAATAAATAAAATGACATTAATATTTCTATTTGACCATTAACTAGATTTTACAATTAATTGATATTAATTTGGGGATGTAGGCATTTTAAAGGCTGGACAAATTAAGGGTTGATTCTACTTGTTCCTTCAATATAATTTATTGACTTCTCAAGCTTAACAAACTGCCTAATTTTTATCTGAATAGTGGAGTACAAAAGGAAATAAATATTTGGTGTGCAGGAAGCTTCGCTCATCCTCTGAGCTCTAGAACTATGTGAGGTACTCTTTGGGCATTATTAAAATACGTACCAGAAGAGGGCAGCACCACCAAGGCCCCCGATGGTCACATCAGTCAGACCGTCACCGTTCAAATCCATTTCTCCGTGAATGGACTGGCCGAAAAATTTCAGCGTCTTGCCATCTCCCCCTGACGCAATACGCTGTGAAAATACCAGCCGAGAGTTTTCACGTCAGAAGAGTGTCTTCAAAAACGATCTCAAATAAATCTGAGCAGTTGGATTGGTTAACAAAAAAGCAAACTGCAAGAACTTTTGGAACGCGGCCCAAAAGGCCCCTCAAGAGAAATTACGCAGATGTTCCCAAAGGATATTCTTTTTATCGTATAGACACAGTCATTTTGGGGTTACTGACACCAGAGAAGGGGAAAAGATCACATAACATCATCTTGTCTAATCCTCAAGGCCAACACTGTAACGGGCTCTGCCTTCTGGTTCCTGCCCAGCCCCCCGGCACAGAGAAGTGGGAGACCGTGGAAACACATCACACGGCAGCGGGGGCCAGGAAGGGGTCCCAGGGTCAGTTTGCTCACTGAACTTGGGGCTGGGTATCCATCACACGTTCCAACAAATCCATTTCTCAATATTTGATCTCCTTCACCATAGACTCACTTCCAGCCACGTGCAACCACAATGTTGGGAGGGCACAGATGAACACGGGGTTCTCAAAGGACCCCGACATAACGTGTGACATCTGGACTTCCTGGCGTAGCTTTGGTTCCAGCTGGTGACATGTCGGTAGAACCCGACAGTAAGGAGACAGGACAGACAGACCCTCCCTACACTTGAGGTCCTTCTCATCCTCCTGTTTTCTACGCAGATGTCATAGCTTAAGCAGCCAAATACGGCAAACCAACTGGAAACATTTTTCATACTTAAATGTTTGTAACTCTTTGGGAAGTATTTCCTCATTTTTTTCCCCACAAACAAATGGGGAGAGACCTGCCTCCTTGGTTCTGCAGGAGCCGACCCAGTGTGATTCTGGGTGGTCCCCCCACACAAGCAGCGTCTCTGGTTACCATGGAAACCAGGGAGCACATCCTCACCCATCCTTGGGAAAGTGGCTAATAAGCAAAGAAGCTCACCTCTAATGCTTTTTGTTTGTTGTTTAAGAAATTGCTTATGGAAACTCTGTTCCATGTATTAATGACTCACAATCCTTCCCTTTTTACCACACATGCTGCTGCATTCAATTTGCAGGATTAATGCTCATCACAAGCGGGAGAATTCACGGAAGAGCCTCTTCCTGCGCCTCCCGACTCCATCGCGCCCCCTGGCGCCACTACTCATTCTAGCACAGCGAATAACTGCTGTTTCATAGAAACAACCCCTTCAGTGGGCAGGTTTGTTCTGGCACGTCCCCTCGGTTTTGTCGCTTCGCTACTGTCTTTATGACTCCGTGAAAGGTTAGGGACAACTTCCTAACACGCGAAAAAATATTGAGAATTCTGTTGATTACAGCACCAAAGAGCACGGTCCAATGTAAAAAGAAATAATGAATGTTTTGATTTTCTTTTCTTGGTATATACACGAGGAAGTAGTAAATTTCATTTTATTTATAGGTGATTTCCAATGCCTAACTAGCTACCGTTACTTAAATACAATTATGTTAGAAAAATTTCTTTAAACTTTCCTGTTTCTATAGTGCAAGAAACACTTCTGTAAATTTATGTTTTTCTCATGTAAAAAAAAAATTACATTTGTGGATTAGAGCCACTAACAGGATAAATTTAAAACAGGAACAACAGAAATCCCCTGCAGGTTGAGTTTAATTATTCATATATATATATATATATATATATATATATATATATATATTCTCCCCCCCCCCCCCGCCAAGAGGGGTCACAGTGAGAAACTGAGAAACCTTTGGAAACCTAAATTCACTTGATGAAAATATGCCAAGTTAATTCATCAATATAAAGGTAATGCAGTTTTGTCCAGCTGGTGTGGCTCAGTGGCTGAGCGTCGACCCATGCACCAAGAGGTCGCCAGTTCCATTCCCGGTCAGGACACATGCCCAGGTTGTGGGCCGGATCCCCAGTGGGGGGCGTGCAGGTGGCCAGTGGATGTTCTCTCACTGATGTTTCTATCTCTCTCTCCCTCACCCTTCCTCTCTTTCTAAAATCAATAAAGGAAAAATTAAAAAAATAAAGGTAATGCAGTTTTATTATAACAACATGGGGGATGACTATCAAATTATTGTTCTCTCATTCAGAAAGTGGTGCCCTTGGGGATCAGACACATTGTGTTAAGTGTTAAGAGCAATGTTAAAAGTGCTGTGTGTGGCCCTGGCCGGTTTGGCTCAGCGGTTGGAGCGACGGCCTGCGGTCCGAGAGACCCGGGTTCGGTTCCCGCTGGGGGTGTGTGCCTCGGTTGCAGTTTGTCCCCGGCCCTGGTTGGGTTTCTCTCTCTCCCTCCCACTCTATCTGAACAAAATATCAAGGAGTGTCCTCGGGTGAGGATTAAAAAAAAGTTCTGTGTGTGTGTGTGTGTGTGTGTGTGTGTGGAGTTTGTACCATTTTAAAAGATCAGGTTATAGAGACTGGCAAATAACAGAAAAAAACTAGATAAAACGATGAAGTGCAACGTCATTCTTCTACAAAGATAATGCAGAAGAGCATTGGAAACCCAGTCTCCCAGGAGCATCAGAAGGAAGACAGGAGCTAGCTCAGGGAGGCCTGGCACCGCCCAGCACCGCTGGGGTCGGGCGCGGGCGGGACCCACCTGCGCGAACGGTGTCCTCAGCGACCTGCCACTCCCGTGGTAGATGTACACCGCACCCCCGTGGTCATCCTCCAGCGGGGCGCCGATCACCACGTCATTGAACCCGTCCAGGTTGAGGTCTTTCACGGCAGCGATGGCGGTCCCGAACCGAGCCCCGCACGGCTCGTGTTTGTTCTTGTTCGTGCATGAATTGTGCTTCAGGGACGAACAGCACGCCTGCTTGATGGGCTCCAGGCTCATCTGATACTCAAACCTCGTCTGGAGGAAAGAGGCACAGGACAGCTCGGATTTGGGATTTGCACCGTGACTACGGCGGAGGGGACTTTTAAGTGCGCGCCAAACCTGCGCTGGGAAATACCATTTGTACATCAACGGAGCGGTTGCAACATTCCTGCAAAGCAGGGCCCGAGAGGCTGTTGAAGAACAGACTGTGGACGTGTGGGAAGAAGGCAGGCTGAGGACGTTAATGGATCCTCTTTAATGCAATTGAATGAGTGCACAACCCACATCATCTTTCTAAAGCAAAGGAGCTGGACTTTGAAACCCTCGATTCATGTCATGATCCTTTCCTCTCCCAATATCGTGTTTCTTTGAAAAATCTCTACGGATGCCCCCTTACTCTGCTCAAAACCAGACTTTCCTCGAACTTATCTAGACCGAAAAAAAGCCCACAACTCGGTCAAGGGCCAGAAAGTACTAGCAGTGATGGACGGGAAGGAGCACAATTTCTTGGGGGAAAAACAGCATAGGACCCCAAAAAAGTGGACAGAAGAAAGCAATAGAAAGAAAAATACATCACTTGTGAATTTAATAATTAATGTGGTGAGACTTGAAATTTTAAAAACGAAATAGATGAATACCGACTTGGCTCTAAGCAGCAAAACAGCAGCAGCACACCTATTCTAAGGAAGGAATCAAGAATTATTCCATCTCACAAATAATATCTTAGGTCGGGAGGGGAAAACCGAGTCTCGCCCCAGCCAGTGTAGCACTGCAAAGGCCACCGGAGTTGCCGAAACGCCTGGTGTCCCGGCCGCAATGCCCCGTCTCCCCAGCCTGGCCACCCCCCCTCCCGTGCACCCCACCCCCAGGGGCGATCAGAGCTGAGGCTGCCTGAGCTCAGGAATGGCTGCTTGTGAGTTCACTGAGATTTATATTTACCCTGTACATCCTGTTTAAAAAAGAGCAGCTCACATTTCCGAAGCGGAAAACAGCTAACGGTTTGAACAACTGGATTAGAATTCTTAAACGTTCATTTACAGACAGGGGTGGTGGCGGAGCCTGAAATCTTCCTGGCTCCTTTTCCCGAAGTCAGTAGAAAATGAGAACTACCTTATTTATTTGAAATGAGATGAGAGGAGGCGCCTCCCCGGACTCACCTTCCCCATCACCTGGCTCACGGAGTAGACGTACACTTTTCCCTGCTCCTCCTTCTCTGCTCCCATGAACATGGGGGCCCCGACCAGCAGCACGTCAGTGTTAGAGTCTTTGTCGATGTCCACTGTCGTCAAAACACTGCCGAAGTAGGAACCGATCTGGGAGACAAACCGACCGAAACAAAACCGTTGTGGGATGGGCACCGGGGATTCTGAAGCTACAAGTCTGCGTTTGTTTGACTGCCGCTGATCTAGAGGGGACAGAGGCTGATGCTGAGGCTGCAGAGGGGCTGCTCCCCGAGAGCTCCCCCTGGCCCTTGCACAGGGCTAGGGACCGGCTAGGTGCCCCTGGAGTAGGAGGGGCCCTCACAGATCCTGCAGTTTGAGAGAAATCATTTCCTTCAGATTTCACTGCATCATCTTGGAGACTGTCTACCTGACCGGACGGCTCGGCCTTTCCAGCTGCCACGGGAGACAGAAAGCCATGGAAGGGTTCCAGGGGACCACCCCCTTGCAGCCATCGGCTACCTCTTTTACAGGTAGGGTGTCTGTCAGGGAAATGCAGGGACGTATACTTATCAAAATGCAAACAGCTGACACCCTTGGGAAGTCTTTATTGAAACGTGCTGTCTCGGCTCCCATGACTATTTTTGCTCTCTGAATTCTGCCCCATATCACGGACTGACTTTTCACTTCACCTTGGCTGGCTCCCTGCCCTTCCCCGGCCCCTACACGTTGGCCTTGGTAAGCTCAGACTGCGCTGTCCCATCCCCTTACCCCAGGTGACCACACACGTCCAGCTGCAGATGTCCCGTTCTCTCCTCCTCCCCACGGCCCGAGCCTACATGTGTACCCCGGCCTGGACGCAGACCACTGCTGGACACTGACTTCTGCGCAGCCTGTTCTCACAGGCTCAGGAAGGGTCTAAAATGTCTTTAATGGCGGAGTCAATGTAAAGGATGACAGGCTGTAAGGTCTGGTAGCTGTGGATCCCCAGGCCCCATGGCTGCAGCCACCCGAGCCCAGCGGGAGCGGAGCCTTCAGACAGTGCCCGGCTGCCCGCTGCTGGGCCCACGAACGGCTTTTGTCTTCTGTCCAGCTGCTTCTTCACGTCCTTTACCCACCTGGCCCCGCAACCCCGGACTGTGTGCTCACGGGTACGGGAAACAGGCCCAACCCCCAACGCCAGCTGAGAAAGCCTCCGACCTGCTGCGGTTGCGGGCGTGCTAGCCTGGCCCAGGTTTCTCCAGGCTCCGGGCTCGCGCCGCAGGCCTTGGGTCATCTAGATGGTTGGTGATGCGCTCCTCAAACTTCCACGAGCATTTGCATCCCACAGAATCGCATGCTTCCCGTGTGGCAGACAATTCGCAGAGTGGAGCGGACCCCCGACGTCATCCACAGCGCTTCATTGGCCAACCCTGCGGATCCCTCCTCGGTACGCCCACCACGCCCCTTCCTGTTCCACTGGGTGGTGGTGATGCTGCAGGTTCTCCTTACCCCTTCCTTGAGCTACAGCAGTAGCCTTGTCTGTATTGTTGATACATTTCCTGGTCACACATGTGACGATGGGCTAAGAGTCCTTCCACCTGGTACACGCAAATCTGACCTTGGTTCACTCTGACTCTGCTCCCCTGGAAATCCGAGGGGGGCAATTAACCCCTGATGGGACATCACATTTAGGCTGGGAGGAAGTATAACTATCCCACACAGAGGATGTATTCTGGGCTTCTCAGACGGCAGCAACCCTTGTGGCTGCGTGCCCTTAGCGGGACCCCTGCAAGCTAGGGCCACGCTGCTGTGACAGACACCTGCTCCTGCACCTGCCGGATGGATGGGGCTGCCTCCCTGCACCTGAGCTGCGGGTGTGCCGGGCTGTGGTGAGACCTCCTGCAGGGAGGCAGGCTGGAGCTGCCCCCCAGGACTGTGCGTGTGTGTGTGGGGGGGAGGTAGTCTAGGGGGAACCCCCATTGACCCATGAGGATTGCAGAGTAAAGTTCACAAATTCTCATTATAGAACACTTAGAGAATACAGAAAACTATAAAAAGGGGATAAAAATTACCCAACGTTATTGAAGTTCAGTAATAATCCACAATAGCATAGGTGTTTTGTTCGGTTTAAAAAAGTATTTATGTATATACTGATGCTTGCACCTTGCAGAGATCATTTCTTACACCCCTTTTCCTATTCAGTATTGTCTGAGGAGAATTTTCTGGTCTTACACGTTACAATTTCCAGTTACAGCCAGGAGGGCATCCTAATTGTTCACCCCGTTACTCAGCACCTCACACCATCGGGCCCCGTTCTCCTTACCTGGCTTTTCCACCACCTGCCTGATGACTTTCCTTCCAGACTCACCCGAAGTTTGTCTCTTATTAAGACTTTCTGCACCAGTCCGAGCTCAAAACGACCTTCCCACCTTCTGAATGGAGTCTGTGCCCCTGTTAACCTTCTTCCTAAGGCTTTTGCTCTTTTTCTGAAGGAATTTTTGTGCCCCCGTCTCTGCATCTGTTATCTATCCATCTCAGCTCCACCCCATCCACCCAAAATACCCCTGAGGCCAAAGGCTCAGGGACTCTTCATGCCTCCACGGAGCCCACCACAGGGCCCCGTTCTCAGCTGAGGTTGGATAGGGGTGCTGGTGTTTTTTAAAGTTCAGGACAATAGGCAGTGCAGTTAAATCTGCGCAGACAGAGTGTGGCGGAGTTGTTCACAGCCATGCCCTTCCAGCTCACCTGCTCTCCACGGAGCGCCTGGAGAATCCTGACGTCCCCATCCTCCATCCGGTAGATGATGACCTGGCCTGTGTGGTTGTACCGGGGCTGGCCCGCAATGTACAGCACGTCTCCAGGGACCGTGGCGGAGTTGACCGTGTAACCTGACAAGGGAGACATACCAGATACACGCTGTCACCCGACAGTCTGCCCCAGATTAACTGAGATCCACTGTCACGGGTGGGAGAATTATTTTTTATATTTTTGCGTGGCCTTCTTTTTTTATAAAATAAACACACATATTTAAATGCAGACAAGCTTTTTGGGTAGAAGCTTTAGTGTGCTCTCTGAGAATCTCCTGCAACCGCTTGGTCCTGAAAAGAGGGCTCACCCAGCCTCACCGTTCCATTGTTTAAAGGCACAAATAATATAACAACGGTGAGAGAAAACGGAAACTCACTAAGGGCTCTCACAACTGCCATTTGCCGCTCCGTAATGAACTGATCGTAGCTCATCTGCACAGGTGCGTCTCTGTGCTAGAGAAATGACTACGTTTGCCCAGGTGGCGTCAAAGCAAACGTGAAACGTGCCTGTATGGTGGCCCAGGTTTTAAATGGCAGTAAATGCTTGAAGCTGATTTCTCCGAGTTAAACCACAAGACTTTCATTGAAGCCACAGGATTATTTCCTGACGGACAGTGGAACTTAGGAGGTTTTGATTTTTTTGGTGTTATACTTAAGCCTGGAAAGACCCCAGTGTTGGAGTTTTTCCTTCTTTTGGATTTTTTTTTTTTAAATGATAAATTTCAAGGAATAGTTTACTGGATCAAATTTGTAATGGTCCTTATAGTGTTTGGTCAATGGTTTCCAGAACGTTTGTTCTAATTAATTCCATGGAGAACCCAAGGACAGAAGGGCTTCATTCAACTCGTCCAAACCTTGTGTACTGTTACAATTATTTAAATTGTGGGCGTTGTCATAGATGCTCAACATGATCTAATAATAGCAACTTGCTGTGATTTTAATTTGTATTTGTTTGATTAAAAGTGAGCTTGAACAGGTTTTCATGTTAAATCACCCCTCTTAGTAAGTGGTTTTCACAACCTTTAGAGTTTTAAGTGGAATTTTTAAGGCAGATTATTATTAATTTCTGGGAGAAGAATTAGATTCGTTCTTTGTGTCTCTAGAGAACAGAACTAAACCTCTCAGTAAAAACGATCACAGTCAGATTTTGACTCTGCAGAAGGAAGAAATGTTCTAATGACCAGCGCTGCCCCTCACTGGGGCAGAGAGCAGGTCACTTTTGAAAATGCCAGAGATAGCATTTCTTACCAAGAAAAAGATCATACTGATGATTTACTTACCAGGTATTCTGTACAAGGTAGTTGTTCCACGTTTTTCCAAAATTTTGATACAGAAACAGAGGTTTTTGTGCTCAAATATGTTTATTTCTTACAAGAGCTAAAGAAGCACAATTCCTCAGGCCTATGTTCCTCGTGAATGTTTTTCTCACATTCTCCTGTCTTCATCTTCCTTGTAAAAAGTATTACACGTAATAGACTATTTCACACATGTAATGTGGCACACTTTTATGTTACTACTAGGACTATTGCTTCGGAATGACACTTGAGGGTCCTGTTCACAAGAAATAAAGGGGAGAAGGACCAGGCTGTGTGAGATAAGAGCTGGGGGACTATTCTTGGGGTGCTCCTCACCCTAGGCTCTTCCACTGCGGACGAAGACCGTTTCGTGACGAAGAGCCCCTGGCATCCCCTACACAGCGCCTGCCCCGCACAGATCTAGAAGAGGGTGATACCACCTCCTCATTCCGGCAAGTCTTTGGAAAATGACACGATGTTACATCCCTGGGTTCAAGTTCAATATCTGCCTTATTGAGCAGAGCTGTTCAAGAAACAGCTCTATGACAAAACAAATTTCAATTTTCTTTTCCAAAATAGGACCCATAAAAAGAAAAGAATGATAGAGGATGTTTAAGAGACGGCAGGGAGCCAGCACTAACATTATTATACACTTAGAAACTGTTTGAAAGAGTAAATGTTCTGTTAAGTGGTTTTTCTCACAATAAAGTACAGTAGGACTTTGACCCCAGGGAATCAGCGGGGTCAAGGTTTCTTTTTCTAGCTTCACTTCCTGTCCACTGGGTCCCAAGCTCTGCTCGAGGTAAAAGAGAACACCGGACCCGGGGAGGCCTGGGAAAGTGCACATATCAGTCTAAACCATCCCTGCACTAACAGCCTTCTGAGAAAGAATACTTCCACGCTCTGTGATGTTGACTAAGGCCACTCGGAGACCGGAAACTAGCACGTCCTATAAAACAGTGACTCTTGGAAGTTGTAAGAGTAATGCCTTGGACATGGAATTCTACATAGTTGTAAGTAAGCCAATACACACAGAAGCAAATGATGCTAAAGATTTAAAAAACAAACAAACAAAACAAAATTAAAAGCCAGTAACATTCTGTGAATGACATCCCGACTTTACCTAAATAGGAAGCAAGGGGCTCGTTCTTTTTGGTAGACTCAACATTGAAGGTCGTGTTTTGGGGGATGAGGATTTGACTCCCCTTCTGCATGACGACAGTTCCGTTCCAGTCATAGGCTCCTACTGCTCCTAGCATGACCCAGTCCTGACACCCGGGAAGAGAAAGCAGGCTCGTTAGTAGCAGTAGTGAGAGAGACACTTATACAGCAGAGACGAGGTGATGGGTACTCTTTGGAGTGCTTTGCAAGGATGGACGCGGGTGACCCTCCTAGTGACAGAGGGGCTGGCTGCCGGGGTTACCATGTCCATGGTGAGGGTTCACAGCTTCCACAGGATGACTGCACATCGAAATGCCAATAACTATTTGCAAGGACCATGCTGCTTTCTGCCATCAACTACAAAGGATGCCTTTTCTCATGCTTTATGCTGGGTGCCACGAACCCTATGCCTTGAACATGGAATTCTAGTAAAACCCTTGAATATCTTTTTTTTTTTTGGTAGGTGCGCCTAGCGGGAGCTGAACCTGGGACTCTCTGGTCCGCAGGCCAATGCTGCAACCGCTGAGCCAAACCGGCCAGGGCAACCGTTGAATATCTTAACACAGAGGAAAAGACACGTTCTAGGTCATTAGCAACACTCTTAAATGAAGTACTTCACCTGGCCAGATGGATAACTACATACGGGGACCTCAGAAGGCTACACAGTTATCGGGACAAGGCGGTGAGCTGAGAGAGAGCTGTCTCCCCAAGGAGAGGCGCGTGAATGCCTCTCTCCTGCCTGGGTGAGAGGGGCCCTCGGCTCCGAACCCCGCTCGGACCCCCAGCCGGAGGGTACACTGCAGTGCGATGCCTGGGTCCCGGTTTGGGGAGGAAACCTCAGAAAGTGCTCATGTTCTTGAAGCACATTCTCTAACTCCCCTCTATTTTCTGAGCGAAGGAGCAAGTTCACCTGCAGGTGGTCCACGTACCTGTGAGTAATGAGCACTGAAGCCGGTCTGCGACATTTCCATTTCAAACGAAGCCGCCGACGGGTCCACCGTGGCTGGGACAGGAGGAGAAACACGTCAGCACACGGCTGATTGGCGGCAGACGGACACCGTGGAGCTGCGGCCTCTGCCAACAGGAACCCCATCTCTAAGGCGCTTCCCCGCCACGCTTCCCCGCCTACCACTCCTAGGCGGGCGGGTAGAGGGCCCTTCTGCAGAGGGATGTGTACCTGCCTCATGCTGCTTTATATCCACAGGCCCAAAGCCCAGTCCTGGGAAACCTCCTTCTCGCCCTCTCAACCCAGGAATTCTGCTGAGACTTAGGCTAAACTTACCTGATAGTTACGAGGCTGACAAAATTTCATTCACACTTTAACTTAGATGTCCGGCTAGAGGTCCTCCCAGAATTCCATTGTTTGAGAAAGGGGAAAGGGATTGGGGTTTATATTGGCTCTGTTTCCTGCTGTGGGGGTCACTCACAGATGGGGGGGGGGCTTTGGCAGGGCTCTGGGCCACAGGCCATCCGGTCACATACGTGTTTATGACTCTGAGCCCATAGTGAGGCTCCAACTAACATGTAGAGAAGATGAAGAGTTCTCTTTGAGAACGTGCTGCTCTCCAAACATCTGCCAGCCCAAACCACAGCCTCCGAGGGGCTGAGGGGCCGTCAACGTACCGGCTTTCGGAGGGAGTTACTGATTCATTGGGCCTTGCAGATCAGTTAAAAATAGAGCATATTTTAAGAATGTCAGTCTGCCCTTTCATTGAGGCATGAGAATAATCAAATCTGTGGAATCAGAGTTATTTACTAGTTATTTCCTGGCATAAATTTGTTAAAAAGTACATCAGCAATTGCCTTTCTACAGGACTCGATTCAATGGGAAAATGAATCAAGGGTTCAAATGTATCACTTGAACCTCATGACTTGCCCTCTAATGTAAATGACTGAGATGCACTTAAACTTTAATTGAAACCTTTATTTTAAGTCCACAATACTTGAAGGTGGTCTCTCATTTATATTTGCCAGATCAGTTATAAGAAGGCAGCAGCCAAGACCTGCCTGCGTCCAGCACCTTCTGGGGCTATTGTTCGGTTTGTAGTAGTTCTGACATTCTGCCTGCTGAGCGGACATCGTGGGAATGGCGTCTTGTACGTGCCTGAGCTTCTCCCTGTCAGCCCCTGGCCGGGCTGTGCACGGTGCTGGGATGACCACGCTAACCACTGGAGCGCCTCTGGGTAGGGAATTCTGCATTCTCCCCGAGTCTGATGGGAAAGGGAGACATTGGACCATTTTCTGGTTTTATTGGGCAGATTGCTGGCACCCTCCCCTCACTAGGTGGCGCTGTCCTTGGCAGACAGGAATTTTATAATTGCTGCTATTTGCTATCTAAAGATAAATGTTGGCCTGCCGGTTTGGCTCGTTGGTTAGAGCATCGGCCTGCAATCCAGAGAGACCCAGGTTCGGTTCCCGCTAAGGGCGTGTACCTCGGTTGCAGTTTGTCCCCAGCCCTGGTTGGTCATGCGGGTGGCAGCCATTTGATGTGTCCCTTTCACGTCGATGTTTCTCTCTCTCTCTCTCTCTCCCTCCCACTCTATCTGAACAAAAAAATGGAAAAATGTCCTCGGGTAAGAATTAAAAAATAAAGATAAATGTTGATAGGAAGTAGGGATTTCCCCAGTTAACAGGGAAATGATGGCCTTCCTGACCTCACTAAGGAAGAGGACCGGGCAGTCAGGACCCTCTCGTGGTCAGCTCTAGAAGTGCCGCCACACCGATGCAGGACACGCTGCCGTGGAGGAGCTCCTTGTAAAATCACTTCTTTCTTCACTGTAGAGTCCTGTCGGAGTGTCTGGGCACTCGCGTGCCGCCTTTCACTGTGGTGGGCCTCGGCTAGCACGGATCTGAAGGGTCACTTACGGGAAACGGACCCCTTCTCCTCCCAGCCGCTGACATTCTGCGCGTCTTGGCTTACGTCGACTGGCTCACGATAAGGCGAGAATGAGACTGTATTGTGTTTAACTAGCTCATGTAACCCAGTCGTTTTTCCTTCTGATGCTCTTATGGACTGCTTCTATGCTACCTGGGCCCATGGTATTAAACATAAAAAGTGCCCAAGGACTCGGAAAACCTACTTCCTTTCCTCCGGGAGTGCTAAGCTGGTGATCTGGCCTGGGAGGAAGGGATCGTGAGAAGCTGCTGCGAGAACAAAGCCACTTAGAAGGGCCTCGTCCACGGCACAGAGGACAGCCACGCTCTTCAGAAGAGGCTGTGACTTGAGACGGACAAATAGTCTCAGTGTTGTTTGTCACAGGCACAAGGGGCAGGGCAGAGGGAGGCGCAGGAATTCGGTCTTGATGGTCTGTCGGGCTCCATCGTCTCTGAATCAAACTCTCTGCTGACTGGCTGCGGTCCCGTTGTGAAACCAGCAGGGTGAGTCAAAACCCCGATTTTCTTTTCATTGAAAGGGAAGAGAACAGGATGAAAGAGATGGGAAAAGGCAGAGAGCAAGGGCTACTCGGTGATTTTCTGTTTATCTGCATAGAAGTGTGTGCCCTGGGTCACAAAGCCAACTGCATTTATGACTGTGGGTCACCGTGATGGAGTCCGAGAGCCGTTACTCTCCGTCACGTCCTGGCCTTTCCACTCATTTGAACATTCTCTGTCGGTCACGTTCCTGCATTTTCCTCATTACCGAGGCCCAGTCAAAGGGTCCACCTTTTCTCAGGGGTGTCCCCTTCCCATTTTATCTCGCTGTTTCCCATTATCAGCTCAAACGGGGACCCCGACAAAGCGCTTTTCAATTTCCATGTTTCGGAGGCAAATACAACAGCCCTTCGTGTGCCTCGCAAGGGCAGACTCAGATGGATTCGGACGGAACGCGCCCTGGTGTTTCTCACCCCGGGACGAGGAGAAAGGCGTGTTCTCAAGCCCCCGGATCACCAGAGCAAAAGGGGCTTTTCAGGGGGCCTGGCAGGACAGTTCTGAGGACGTTTCTTTCGCTAGGAAAGATCTAGTTTCAAAGTAAGTTGTGACGTGACCACTTCTACCTAAGGCCGCGACTCGGCATCCTCAAGAGCCTATCGCCAATGAAAAAGCACAGACAAAATCCCCACAGACGTAGCGTGACTCAGATGCAGCGAAACGATGTCTCACTGCAGTGGGACCGAGGCCCAGCTCCGTGGAGACCTCCAGCGTGGGCAAGGGCAGGACAGGGGGGAAGAAAGGAACAGAGAAGTCATTGCTGCAGACAGTCCCACAGATGCGCCCCAATGAAACAGACGGAAATAATAAAGCTTGGGCTAGCGTCTCCACTTACTAAACCCGGGTCAGACAAGAGACAGACCACAGGGCACACTGTTCTTGTGCCTCCCCATGGACTGTTGTCCTCATCGGCTCCCAGGTGGGCACTGCCTGTCCTTACAAAGAGCCTCCAGCCGAGACAGCTCTACGGGAAAACTCCATCTCAGCCACGATAGAGTTACAGGATGGCACACAGCACAAACACATTAGCCGGCGGTAGGAGTACACACCAAAAGCCCAGGACATGCGGGTGAATGCAGAGAGAACAGCGGATCAGCAAAGCAGGCCTACCTTCCAGGGCGAATATTCTTTCTCCCAGAGCCTCGACAATGGTGACGAGAGCCAGCTCATCGGACACGTTGAAGAAGTGCTTTTCGGTGGGCTGGCTGGCGATGGATTTTATTTCCTCCACGAACTTTTCAGTGCTTAAATTGCCCCGGTTATAGCTGCCGAGAATCTAAGATACAACAGACAGGGCGAGAATGTACCTTAAATTCTACACGTCGAGTAAGGATCTCAAGCATCCTGCCAGTAAACAGGTTGTGTAGCATCTCGGCACGATGCATGTTTTATGCACTTGCACAGTCTTGGACAAGCAACTGTCAGAATGTATAGATTTCCTAATATTAACTGGTACATACTGTACAAGGTGTGGGAAAGGTATGTTTGTGAAAGTTTCTTCTTTTGCATCCCTGTGTACCTGTTTATTAACAGCTGTATCTTGAAGACCTGACAGTTCAGCCCTGGCCAGTTTTGCTCAGTGGTTAGAGTCGGACTGCAGACCAGAGAGTCTCAGGTTCGATTCTGGTCAAGGACACGTATCTCGGTTGCAATTCGGTTCCGGCCCTGGTTGGGGTTGTGCAGGAGGCAACCAATAGATGTTTCTCTCTCTCCCCCTTCCTCCCACTCTATCTGAAGATAAATGAAGAATATCCTCGGGTGAGGATTTAAAAATTTTTTTTTATTTTAATCTGACAGTTCAAAAGCAGTGTCATAGTTTCTGAACATCTCTGATGTTATTCCAGCCGGTGACATCACTGTTTGCTGGCAAAGCAACTAGCAAATCAGTCGCTCCATCCAGAAGCTGCAGTTCTTCCCAAAAATCTCCCCAATGGGCCGTCCAATCCGTGGACATTTTACACAGCTATTGGGCTAGGAGAAATCTAACTTGGCAATCTAGGGCAATCCAGAAAATCAACAATCGGGACTTCCTGTTTGAGACCCAAAGCTCAAGGCAGGGATGTGCTTCTTCACAGAGAGGGAGGCAGGCATGATCTGTCATAGTTTAACTAGAATTATTTATTATAGAAGGTTTTCTTGAACCTTTAGTTTACTTTTCCAAGTAAGCTTTATTGAGGTATACTTTATATACAGTAAAATTCACCCTTTTCAGATACACAACTCCGAGATCTGACAAACCTACGCCACCGCACTGAGACGTGGAGTATTTCCGTCGCCCCGAAGTTCCCCTTGTTCCTTTCAGCCCCCCCAAACACCAATCTACTTTCGGCCTCACAGCGTCGCTTTCCCAGGGGTCATAGGTAAGGAGCCAGCAGTGCGCAGCCTGCGTGTCCGGCTCTCGCCACTTTGCACGCTTCAGACACCGGCCACGCCGCCTCCTGGGCCGGGGCCCCATCTTCGCTGCCGAGCCCGGGCCCCGCAGGTGCACCGTGGTCTGTCCAGGGCATCCGGCGTGTTTTCAGCTTCAAGTGGCTGTGAGCAGAGCTGCTGGACATGGGCACGCAGCGGTCCCCGTGTGGACGTCCTGTCCCCTTGTCTCCCAGGCAAAGGCCTGAAAGTGGGGGTGCGGTCCTGTCCTGTGCTCAGTGTCGTAAGAAACTGCCCGACCGTTTCCAGGGCGACACCGCGCGTTCCTGGCCCAGTCCCGGCAGCAACGCCAGAGGTGCCGTTGTTTTGCAGCCTCGTCAACTCTTGGTTTTGTCTGTTTGTTCTCTGTGGCTTGGTCCACTTCCAGCAGGTCCACTGGTGGGCAGCGGCAGCTCGTGTCACGTGCATTCCCTGATGCCTGGTGACACGGGGACCTCCCAGCGCTTCCTCGCCACCGTGGATTTTCTGTGGGGTGGGGTCTGTTCCAGGCTTTTGCCAATTAAAATCAATGCGATGTTTATTTTCCTGTACTGAGTTGTCATCGTTTCTACATATTTTAATACAAGACCTTTATGTATTTTGCAAATATTTTCTCCCAGCCTGTAGGTGGTCTCTTTTTCTTTACAGTGTCATTTTATTTGAAGAAGTGTTTAATTTTAATACATTCTAACACATTCTAACTGGAAATGTTTTATGTGTTTTTTTTTGGTTTGTACATTATGCTATTTAAATATGTAGTTTTAATGTAAACATTTCTTAAAATTTAGTTTTTTGTTTTGTGTTTTTTTAAATCCTCACCTGAGAATATTTTTCCATTTATCTTCAGGTAGAATGGGAGGGGGAGAGGGAGAGAGAGAGAGAGAAACATTGATGTGAGAGAGACACATCGACTGCTTGCCTCCCACACGACCCCCACAGGGCCGGGGACTGAACCGCAACTGAGGTACGTGCCCTTGACCTGAATCGAACCGACAACTCTGTCCTCGGCCAATGGTCTAACCACTAAGCCAAACTGGCCAGGGCTTAAAATTCAGTTTACAACATAACAATGTTCAAGTTAAAGTAAATGAAAAAACAAAATCTTTGAAAAATAATATGTAAATTAAAAATGCAGAAAAGTTAAAAAAACAAAACAAAAAACCCAACAAGTAAATAAAATAGAGACGAATCTTAATACAATAATAAGTTTTAAAATTTTCAAAATAGTTTAGATAACATGACACCTCTTTTATAAAGTTAAAAGCAAGGAAACCTTCTCAACATGTATCTTTTCAGGTAGCACAGATGCCAAGCAATTACCCTGATGGCTATCAGGTATTTGCCCTGATTGAGCGACACAGCCCTGGATGCTCACAATGCTATTAAAACGAGTATGCAGATCCAATCAGAAACTCAGAACCAAACAAAGCGGGCCAGGTTCTGACAGAGGATGAAAATGTCTCCTAGGGCGAAGGTCACGGTTCATTCGATTCTCGCCGCAGGTGTCTGGAAGCAAAGCTGAGACGAGAGCGCGGGGCTATTGCTTGGATTTGTGGAAAATCCAGCTGCTTGGGGAGAAGGAGACCGGTGGCCCCCCGGGACCACGCAGACACCAGCATTCTGTAGCTCTCTTTCATTTTTAAATGGCAGCCACAGACTTGTCTGGCACCGTTAGAAACAGACAGCTCTTTGGTACCTTCCAGCCCTGTTGCAAACACAACTGGGGTCCTGAGATGTGGCGTGAGTGCGGCGGAGACTTGGTACCCTAAGGGACAGGACAGCGCGGCGGGTAAAGTTCGGTGGGGAAAATGCCCGAATGGCACACTGGAGGACACACACAGAATGTATAACTGCAACGCAGGAGTCTATCTTTTGAAGAAAACATAAGAGAAAAGAATGCCCAGGCCTGACTGTGGCTTACTCCCAGTTTGAACTGTTCAGCATCACAAGATCTAAATGAACACAGAGGGAAGTGTACTTTGATCCTTCAGCCGGGGGTCTGGTAGCTCCAAACACATTCTTTTCTAGGAATGAGGAGAGATACACAGTAGCGCATAAACTACCCGTTTCAGTGAATGGGAATATGCCAAGCCCAGGCACCTGGTGTCCCGCTAACCACCACCTGTGACAGGTACTGAGAATGGAAGGTCCCTGGAGACAGGAGCATGGAGTGTGCCCACCCGGGGGGCAGTGCCGTCTGTGTGCGAAGGAACGACATTCTAAGACACTAATTTCCCTCACTTTCCTCTGAGAGCTGCAGGTGATGCATCTGCACAGCCCTGTCCTCCCAGCCATTGTCATTTAGGATGGGAATCTGAACACAGAACAGGTGCTAGCCAGCAGGGCTGATGTCCTCAAGTGACAGGGTGAGCTCAGAACAGAGTGCTCAGGCCCCCCAGGACCCCCAAAATCTGAGTTTCATGGAAACTGTCTGCAGTTTCCTCACAGAGGTCTCATATTCTCAGGAGTCAATTCCTGGTGATGCTGTCTCCCCACCAAAACACATCTCTACGGGGTCAAGATCAAATGGTGGGTGAAGAGTCAGACTGAGAGGAACCTTCCCACCGGTAACTGGCCAGTCCCGCAGGTGGACTTGAACACGAGCGTCATGAATGCATCTCGAGAAGGGCCCCCCACCTTTCCGTGGGAATGCACAGGAGAGGAGAGAAAACCACCGGGGAAAAGAAATAGGCATTTGGAAGGTAACAAGTAGTTATTGCGAAAGTGACATTTTCCTAGACGCTGTTATTTATACCAGTTTGAAGAGCAGTTTGATAATACGTGACTCAATGGTTTAAATGGGAATGAACGGCATGACTTCAGGGTTCTCCGGGAAGATGAATGCAATCGTGAGACTTCTTTGTGACCAGATGGGAGGCGAAGTCTGAATGATGACAGGGACCCAACAAAGACAGTGATTTGAGGGAAGAAACACGGGACCTGCAGCTGGATTCGGTGTAAAAGTGTGAGAAGGTTCACTTTACAGTAAGAAGTCATCCAGTGAGGGCACTTTCTTTGCGGTGAAGTTTTCCTAACGTGTTAATGCTGCTGCCGGTCCCTTTAGTTCATGTGACAGTGGGGTGCTACACTGTATCCTCTGGGGGGAGCTGAACCAGTGACAGCAAAGTGGGTCCCCAGGTGTCTCGACATAGTGACATGCCCTGGCTTTGCATACGGAAGACACCAGCCAAGGACTGTGACCGAGGACAGGACCTCTGAGGGAAGGCTGGGCCACCTGGGATTATTCTCCACCCCGGAAGACGTTGAAATAGTCACAGAGAGGTAATAATGAACTGAACAATAATTGGCAAGAGGTAATTGATAGAAGTAACAATGGAAAGAGAGAAATGATGATTCATTAATTTTTTTCTGTCTTGTGCTCCAGATGAAAAAGAAAATGTTGCTTCTTCAGGAAGAATACACGCACCCTTATGTTCATAGCAGCACTATTTACAATAGCTAAGATCTGGAAACAGCCCAAGTGCCCATCAGTAGATGAGTGGATAAAAAAGCTGTGGTACATGTACACAATGGAGTACTATGCAGCTGTGAGAAAGAGAGATCTCTTATCCTTTGAGATGGAGGGACCTGGAGAGTACTATGCTAAGCGAAATAAGCCAGTCAGAGAAAGACAAATACCACATGATCTCACTTATTTGTGGAATATAATGAACAAAATAGGCTGTCAACCAAAAGAGATCCAGAGTCCTGGCAGTAGGGCACAGCCTGACAACCCTCAGAGGGATGGGGGTAGGAGGGGTGGGAAGAGATACACCAAAGAACTGATATGCAGTACGCACACCAATGGATACAGACACTAGGCTGGGGAAGGCAGGAGGGGCTGGGAGCAGGAAGGAGAGGTCAATGGGGAATGAAGGGGACATCTGTAATACTTTCAAGAATAAAAAAATTAAATAAAATAAACATGAAAAAAAAAAGTTATCCCTGCTAACGGCCTAGGGAAGGGTAGAAATGAAGGCCATGGTTAAGGTTCTCAAAATGACTAGATTTTATAGGCTGCAGAAAGATCTCTGCAGGTTTCTGAATGAGGAGGTAACATAATTTATCTCCAAGACACGTTTCAGCTCTAAAGCACTGTGGTTTTATGATCTCGTGGTTGCAAACTCCTTGAGATAAAGTTCCTTAAGCAAAAATAACCCTGCCTGCCGAGCCGGCCTGTGCAGGGCCAGGTGCTCCACAGGGCTGTCCGACTCGTCCCCGGCAGACAGAGGACAGGCTACCCTCCCCCACAGATAAAGAAGCCAAAGCTCGGAGTGTCACGTGGGCCTTAGCCACAGTCACAGAGCAGCCCTGCAAAGGCAGAATTTGAACAAAGGTCTGTCTGACTCCAAAATAGTGTCCTCGACCCTTCCCCAGCCCCACCCTCTACTTGTCACTTCAGGAAAATGCCTGTGAGTCTTTTGTTGTTTAGGTTATGATGCATGCTGGTACACGCCTCCTGTCTCTAGGCTGGTGCACGCCTCCTGTCTCCAGGCTGGTACACGCCTCCTGTCTCTATGCCGGTACATGCCTCCTGTCTCCAGGCCGGCACACGCCTCATGTCTCTAGGCTGGTGCACGCCTCCTGTCTCCAGGCTGGTGCACGCCTCCTGTCTCTATGCCGGTACACGCCTCCTGTCTCTAGGCCGGTACATGCCTCCTGTCTCCAGGCTGGTATACACCTCCTGTCTCCAGGCCGGTACATGCCTCCTGTCTCCAGGCCGGTACACGCCTCCTGTCTCTAGGCCGGCACACGCCTCATGTCTCTATACTGGTACACGCCTCATGTCTCTAGGCTGGCACAGGCCTCATGTCTCTATGCTGGTACACGCCTCATGTTTCTATACTGGTACACGCCTCATGTCTCCAGGCCGGCACACACCTCATGTCTCCAGGCCAGCACACACCTCATGTCTCCAGGCCGGCACACGCCTCATGTCTCCAGGCCGGCACACGCCTCATGTCTCTAGGTTGGCACACGCCTCATGTCTCTAGGCTGGCACATGCCTCATGTCTCTAGGCTGGTACACGCCTCATGTCTCTATACTGGTACACGCCTCATGTCTCTAGGCCGGCACACGCCTCATGTCTCTAGGCTGGCACATGCCTCATGTCTCTAGGCTGGTACACGCCTCATGTCTCTAGGCCGGCACACGCCTCATGTTTCTAGGCTGGTACACGCCTCATGTTTCTAGGCTGGTACACGCCTCATGTCTCTATGCTGGTACACGCCTCATGTCTCTAGGCCGGCACACGCCTCATGTTTCTAGGCTGGTACACGCCTCATGTCTCTATACTGGTACATGCCTCATGTCTCTAGGCTGGCACACGCCTCATGTTTCTATACTGGTACACGCCTCATGTCTCTAGGCTGGCACACGCCTCATGTCTCCAGGCTGGCACTTGCTTCGCGTCTCTACGCTGGTGTCTCTTTATCTCTGGTACAAAGTGTGGTGAGGTGGAGACACTGTGGTGCCCTTGGGAGGCTGGGGACATGCATGGAGACAGGTGAGCACCACAAGGACCTGCGCAGCAGCAATGGGAATCTGCGCCCGGGCAGTGGGTCACAGGCTGGGGGGAGTCTGGAGTCTTGGCGTGTGGGCCACGGCCATGGGCCTGCTGCCCTGGCTCTGCTCGTGCGCAGACCGGGAAGGAAAGCTGCCTCCTCTCTGGGGGCCAGGAGCACAGAGCAAAGGCATGAAGGACACAGATGTTAAAAACAACACCAAGGTTAAAAAAAAACAGAGTACTAGGTAAGCAGAAACTTAAATGATTTTCCATGTTCGCAAGGTCTTCTCTGAACGTCCCTGTTCATGGGGGGCACCATGACAATTAAGTCAACTGATTTCACGGAACTGCTAGAAGTTGGGGGGAAATCACTAATCAGAGGTATGAAGCATTCAGACACGTCTCTGCGTGCATTTGGAGAGACAAGGCTGTTCACCAATAACGACTGCTCTGTGTCGGTTCAGGTATGCTCACGCCGGGTGCAGCCTTTTCCACACCATCCAGAGCAGGTTTTTCCCGGGAACCAGCAGAAATGTCTTCTCTGGTCCCTTTGCCCTCCTTGTCCAGCTTAAATGCTCTTACAGGGCAAACACAGTTTTGTGGCTGCTGGCTGCACCCTCGGGGACCTCAGCAGAGGGGACGTGGCTTCGCACAGAGGACATAGCAGTGGCAAGGGGCTCCCCACCCCCCATTCTAGTCCTGCCAGAGGTGGTAGGTGCAGGGGAGCACCCACACCGTGGAGCCCCTAGGACGCTCCTACCACAGAGGGGACTTCTCCTATGCCAGGGGTACACTGTCCAGGGCAGACGAAAAAGTAGGTGACCGAAGTTTCTTTCTCGCATCTCAGAGTGGTAGGCATGGAGAGGCCATCACTGGCTTTTAGCCCACAAGAGTCACGTCCTGACTGTCCACTCTCTCAGATCACAGGAAGGGCTGTTAATTAGCAGGCAATGTTCATGTATTACCTAGTCCGTCTTCAGTTTCCTCCCTCCCTCCCTCCCTCCTTTCTCCTTTTCTCCCTCCATTCCTTCATGTTCCCCTTCCCACCCTCTCCCCTGTCCCCTCCTCCTCCCTATTTCTGTCCCTGGCTCCCTCTCCCCCTCCTTTATTCTACTGTTCTCCCTTCCTTTGCTTTGTGATGGTCTGTGGGGCTCTGGCCGGGCACTGGGCTGGGCACTGAGGACGAGGAGGGACAGAGCAGTCTGACCCGCACAGGGTCCGCCCCGGAGGGCAAACGCTCTCCTTCCAGCCCGGGCCACTCCCATCAGTGCCCCGACGACCCCACCCGGCAGCCGGCCGTGCCTACCGCTATGGCGAACCGCTGGATGCTTTCCCCCTCGCAGTCCTGGATGACCGTGTGCAGCCGGTGGTTGTCGTGAGACTCGCCGTCCGTCACGATGACCATGACTTTCTTGACCCCTCTTCGGGCGCCTCGGGCTTCGGTGAACGCCTCTCTCCTGAAATGGCAGAGACAAGAGAGGAGCAAGTAAGACCCCCCCCCCAGGTGAGGCAGCGCACAGACAAGGGAAGCCCCACCCCGCGGGTCCCGGCCTCCCTCCAAGGCCCGCGGCGCCCCCGCTGCAGCTGGGAGACCCTCGAGCAGGCCTGCCCAGCCGCAGGGTTATTGGAGGGTGCGGCGCACCACCTGCTGGTCACCAGCAGCCCACGCACAAAAGGCTGCCGTGTTCCGTCCGTGGGCACTGGGGAAGGGGGTGCCGGGAGCAGACGCCAGGCGCTGGCCTCAGCACCCCCAACACACACACACCCCGTGCACAGACCAGCCTGCAGCTGGGAGGGGTGGAGAGAGAACCCGGCTGTGAGTGCGGACGTGCTCCCGGGTCTGGAGGCCGCCGCCAGACACGGGGATCAAGACTGCGGACGGGGCGGTCGGAGCCGGGGCAGAGGCGGGCTCGGGCGAGGGCTGGGGTAGCGGAGGCGGATTTGGCCTGTACTAGGCCTTAGGACACAGGCCGGGGGCGGGGTGGGAGAAAGTAGCCTGGGAGAAAGGACAACGTTATAACCAAATGGCAAAAAAAAGAGAGGGATTTTTTATTTAATTCAACAAGCATTTCTGGAGTGAGAGAGAAGACAGGGGAAACTGTTCTCGTCAGTTTTGTGTCTCCTGCGCACCCACACGCACACACCCACACGCACACACCCACACGCACACACCCACACGCACACACCCACACGCACACACCCCCCACACGCACACCCACATGCACACACTTACACGCACACACGCACACCCACCCGCACACACCCACCCGCACACCCACCCGCACACACACCCACACACACGCACTCACACACGCACACCCACGCACACACCCACACACGCACACCCACCCACACACACCCACGCACACACCCACACGCACACACCCACACACGCACACCCACGCACACACCCACACACGCACACCCACCCACACGCACACACCCACACACCCACACCCACACACCCACACGCGCACACCCACACACGCACACCCGCGCACACACCCACACACGCACACCCACGCACACACCCACACACGCAAACCCACCCACACGCACACACCCGCACGCATACACCCGCACGCACACCCACCCACACGCGCACACACCCACATGCACACACCCACACCCACACACACACACACACACCCACAGGCACACCCACCCACAGGCACACCCACCCACACGTACCCATCCACACGCACCCATCCACACGCACACACACCCACACGCACACCCCCACATGCACACACACACGCACACACACGCACACCCGCACACCCCTCTGTATCACTGTCTTGTTCAACTCACTTTCCTCTCTGGGTCCTGGGAGAGAAGAGAACTTTTACTTAGGACTGGAACAATACCAGGATTTTAGGTCACATTATTTCATACTCTGGTGCAAACTGCAGCAGTCATTGTAGGACTGGCCCATTTAAACACTGGCCCCTGGCCCCAGGAAAGGCAGTGCAGCCGGGCGAATGAACACCTCCCGGAGCGAAGCCTCCGCAGTTCATGTCCAGGAGGGGCTTTCTGCGGGGGGGGGGGGGCTCGGTGGTGTGACCGCTTTCCCTTAGGGGCTTTCAGCAGGTATGACAGGGTATTTGCACCTGGATTCTGTCCGATGCACACACATTTTGCTGCCTTGTTTACATTTCCAATTTCCCCTAAAACTTACAAAAGAGAAATACATGAAGAAAAGACCGACCCCTGGGGAACTGTGTGTCTGCCCTCTACGCCGTGCAAAGGGGTTCTGACGGCTATACGCTCGGGCGAAGGTGAAAACAGACATCAGGGGCTAGTATTTAAGGGGCGTTGGAGGTAAGGGTCAGGGGATGCAGTCCTCTCTGCAGTCCTCACTCCTTGGAGGGTAGGGTCACTCAAACGTGCAGATTATCGAAGTTCAAGGCTGGAACCGAACAAACATCAGCCAGGGAGCTAACGGCCTTCCTTGAAGAGAATCGGGCTCTGTGTTCCTGGGAGTGGCCCCCAGCTGCCTCCTGAGGGCCCCCTTTCTGCTTCAGGCACCTTCAGCAAATTGCCTGTGACCCCCACATACCACCGCCCTGTGATCTTTCTTAAAGTCAAACGCTGGCCTCCCTGCATGCTTTTAAACTGTCCCGGGAGCGTGCTTTCTCTGGGGTGGGAGGACCCCGGGTTTATGATTAAACACGGGAACTCGTTGAAAAGAAAGGACACTCGGGATAGGCAGAGGGGGACAGAGACATATTACACCAGGAGACACTGAAAATGGAAGTAAAAGCTTATAAAAATATAAAAATAGAAGCAGTGTTTGAACTGGCCCTGCCTGAAAGCAATAAATACAATTAAGAATACACTCCAACGTGAAGAAGACGACCCGGTCACATCACGTGGAGTTTTATTTACACGCAGAGCTCAAATCTCTGAGCCCTGCAGCTGGGCCCGCCGAGAGACAGAAACCATATAGGGCCATGGTATTCATGGGGGAGCGAAGAACCGGAATGTTTGTTCAGTTAGCGTGCACAGCTGAATATTCACTCTTCCCTGGTTCATAGGGAATACACAACACCCAGGGCTCCCAGGGGTGCCCACCCAGCCCAGGGCCCCAGGGGTACCCACCCAGCCCAGGGCCCCAGGGGCGCCCCCCAGCCCAGCGCACTGGGAAGGTAGACTGGTGATCTGTGGGCAGGTCCCCCAGCCGCGTGTGGTTCTTTTCTCTCGGGCCCCATGTAACTAGAAGCACCTGCTGCTCTCACATGGACGAGTCTAAAGCTGCCCATGTGATGAAAACACGTGGACTCGCCGACCCACTCTTTGGGGCACCAAAACCCCCATCTTAGCAGGCGGGCGAAGGGGCAGCAGGGCCCTTCGCTCCGGGAATCAGGGAGAGCCCAGAAGTGGATGGCACTGAACAGAAGGGTCGCTAAGGTGGTCAAACTACCTGTCAGCTCCCCAGCGATGTGGGTGTTGACTGTTAAGATGCCTCCTAGCTCCACGGGTGACGGCGATGAGAAATGAGGGGTAAGAGTTGGGTGGGATAGAAAAATACCGAAAGCTAGGGCCCTGCATTGCAAGAAAAGGGGCTCAGTTTGGTCCTGGGGTTCTTGCAGATGGAAGTGCACCTGTAGAGTGGACTCTGTGCTCTCCAGGCGGGAGGGGGGGGGGACCACTGAGGGGATGTGAAGAGTGTAAGAAGGAAGAAAGAGCCAGCATTACGATGATGAAATCCTCTCCGCCTTTGCACCGAGAAGGATTTCAAGTAAGGCGATAGATACTGAGCTTGGCCTCCTAGGAACTCCTATCCGAGCGCCTCCGCAGCCCCAGATCGGCACTGCGGACGTGCCCGCACGCTGGGCAGAGCTGCCTGTCGAGCAGAGCACTCCCCAGTGTTCAGATGGAGAATCCCAGAGGCTGAGAACACAGAATAAAGGGAAGGACAGTCACTCCTATTGGGTCCTAGTGCCCACGAACACGAAGCTGTGGACCACCGTGGTGTTTGATGGATGTTCCGGCAATAAAACCCTCAGAATAAAGGAAAGGGAAGAAGGCAGGGGAGAATGTGTGCGAGAAACACCTGATGGTGTCACTGAGCTAACCAGCCGAGTCAGGCTTAACCAACACAGCTCTGAGCACCCCAAGGTCAATGTTTCACCAACACCGAACGTCTAGGCCGTGAACGGCTGTTTCAGCGCAGGCTTTGACTGCGGTCGGCTGTTCACCGGGTACCTGGCCGTGTCTATCCCGAGGGCTGTCATGGTCTGGCGGCCGCCTCTCTGCACTATTTTATTGGCAGCGACGAGCACGTCCTCCGTGGACGCGTAGGTGTTGAGGTTGAACTCGTGGGTCACGTTTTCTCCGTACTGCACGATCCCGACCTGAAACACAACCGCAGCGAGTCACCGCTCCAGCCCCCGCCCGTCCGCGTGGCTCCGTGTAAGCACGGAGCTCACAGCGGATCCGCTCGGGGCTTCAGACAAGTTTAAAAACCCACGAGAACACGGACCCTACGTGGGCGCAGTACTGTGGCCGTGTGCGCCCGGAGGACAGGCGTGGAAGTGCCCTTATGAAATGTCTCAGGTGATCGGCTTGTCCCTTCAGTGGTGTTCAGGGGCGCAGTGTGAAACTGGGGTGCACGCACAGCCTCTGCCGTCCTTCTCATGGAGCTTCTGAATGGGGAGGGAGTACAACCCAGGGCCTCTTTAAAATGGGGCCGAGGCCTGGCCAGTGTGGCTCAGTGGTTGACCGTTGACCCTGCACCAAGAAAGAGGTCGCTGGTTCGATTCCCGGTCAGGGCACATGCCCAGGTGGTGGGCCCGGTCCCCAGTGGGGGCATGCAGGAGGCGGCCAGGATGGTCTCTCTCCCTCTCCCTTCCTCTCTCTCATATCAATAAAGAAAAAAGTATTTTAAAAAATTAAAATGGAATGGGGCTGAGAGAAGGCCTTTCAGAAGTGATGTTTCCACTGGGACCTGAACAGGTGCGGGGAGGGCAGAGGCCTGGCCCGGGTGGTGGGAGAGAACTGTGGGCATGAGGAAGCTGAGATGGGGAACAGGGAGGAGAGTCCCCAGAACAAAATGCCAGTCAGCGAGCCTGGACCGAGGCATGGGGGCAGAGGGGGCTGGACCAGCAGGCAGGGGTGAAGGGGTGAGGGGCGTCCATGCTGCCTGCTCAAGGTGCTCAGCCCTTCCCCCACCCTTTTCTTCTCTGTCTGCTCCCCCTCACCGCCCTCCTCTCTTCCCGTCTCACCCACAGACTGGATGGTATCAGCAGAGCCACCGTAACGTAAGAAGACAAAGAAGGTAACATGCCCCCAGATGCAACGTCCCTTGATACATGTTCCTCTCCCCACCCCAGAGATGCCCATGTCTCGATTTCCTTTTTCTACACCCTCCTTTGAAAGTTGATGTCGGCCAATGAACGAACCTACATCAGAACTGTGCCTGAACATACTTTTTCGTTGAACTTTCTACCCCAGAATCGGGGACCCAGAGAATTCTGTACCCCAAATGGATGTCTTTTTTCATGTAGGGATTCTGGGCCCTTCGTTTCTTGGGCAGAGGACATAAATTGAGACCGGGCTGCCTTCTTTGCCAGGCAGTTGCCTTGTGTGCCCACGGGTAACCTTGCCCTTGGTGCTTGCATTGGAGCTAAACCTATTTCCAAGTCTGATGCCCTTTCCACGTGGCCCAGAGGATGGGCAGCCACCTGGCGGCCCCCCGCTGACATCGCTGTGGTCAGTACCCCGGAGGCGCGATCCCATGTCTGATGTGGAGGCGTATTTCCACGGCTAGGTCTTCCCGGACACCAAAAGCATGCTCTGGTATTTGCAGAAACAAATACGAGAACCTCCAACACAGTCACCTTCCCTGTCTCTGAGCTGCCTCCAGACCCACCAGACATCTGGCGCGATGGCGTCACCGTGCAGAATCAGGTAGCCCGTGTCTTCACGGCGCCTTACACAGGTTCTCCCCATGTTCATTAAATCACAGCAGCGGGAAGGATCTCCACATTGTGTAGATAAGGAAACTGAGTTAAAAAAACTCACCCTCCACTGAGAGAGGGCAGAACGGGGTGGAACACTGATGACCAGAAGTCGCGTAGTAAATAGGACAGGGTACACCCGACGAATCACACCCAAAAGTAAAGTGAAGGGGTACACACCCATGACGCCTATTCGGGTAATTTCCTTGACTTATAATGAAATGTTTTCTATTATTCTCCACATAAAATTAAAATTCTTTTCCCTCCCAGATGATGTGGCTCAGTGGTTGAGCGTCGACCCTGCACCAAGAGGTCGTTGGTTTGATTCCCAAGGACCCTTACAGCTTTTTATTAGCAATCCAGGGAGACGCTGAATTGTTATTAAGGAAGTCACTCACGTAGGTTTGACATTGCCATTGTGTACGCCAGTGTTCAGTATAAATACAAGTGAAATGATTTTGTAACTTGGATGATCATTATGCTAGCTGTGGGCATGAGGTACATAGATGCTGCTGGGGGAGTTAATTGCTCACCCATTCAGGACACCTTACTGCTTTGTTCTTTTATTTCCCTTTGTTTTTATTTGATTAAGCAGGAGGCTAAGCACTTTGAAAACTGCTCGCTTTCGTCATTGTTCTTGGACATTTTACTGCTTGGATGAATCTATTGAACGCCCTCGTCTCTCATTTCTTCGACGTCCTGAGCTTCCGTACTCTTCCTCTCGCTCACCCGGGTAACCTACTCCCGAGGTCGGAGCATTGACCTTGTCCTCTGGGAAAACCGCCACACCTCAGTCCGTTTCCAGTGTCCTTCTCTCTGACCCTTAACCTCCACTTATTGACCTAGAGCATCTGATTCATTCCTTGACCACATCAAGACGTCCAATTAATTCACAGATCCTACCTTTTTCTTTTTGGTGCCGACCCTAGATCCCACGGTCCATCATGCCGTAATCATTGACTTGCAAACGCTGAACTCCATTAACCTTTTCCCCTCCATTAACTCCGGTGGCTGACTTCCAACTCTGGCTAAGTCTACTACCTCCTTGGCTGGGTTTGCGTCTGGGACACCGGATGTTGCTTCACAGAAATCCCGCCACCGGTCGCCTGGTCTCGCTTCCACATTAGGACCGTGAACCTCGAACCCACTCCAGCCCTGCTGCTTTGTGCTAGGCGGGTACTCCGCTCGCCTGTGTGAGCTCAGGTTCCAGCCGTCAGCGGTAACTCCTCAGCAGAGAGTGTGACCGGCACAGGGTGAGCGCAGAGAAGGGGCGGGGGAGGCTCTGCACTGTGATGTTCCCTCTGACGACCTTTCTGAGTCTGACAACCTGCAGTGAACCACTGGATTACCTGGACCAAGTGTCTTCACACCGGGAATAGCACGACAGGGAACACCTTGGTGAGTCAGAGACAGGTTACCTGTCTGTCTGTCCATCTATCACTCCACTTTACATTCATCTCACTTCTATCGCTTCTTCTTTGCAAACAGTAAGACGTGAGGACCTTACAGTGGCCTATTCCCTGGCCTTTCCGTGGACTGAGCGTCCAACAACTCCACCTGCTGCCACTTTCAGCCGATGCCCTTGGGATAGAGCTGCGTTGCCCCAAAGGGTCAGGGACACAGAAGTGCCTGGAAGTTTCCCCCTCCCCCCCCCTTCGCCATGCTTCCTGGGCAATGCGGGGGCCCTTCCAGATCAGGCCACGGCCCAGACCTCCCTGGAGTCACACCCCTCTTTTCCTCTGTCGCTATCCTGTGTTGCTCCCCCAAATCCCTTCCTGTTTCCTTGCGGGAGAGATTCCGTGTTCAACCCAATCACCTGGCTCCTCTCTCGGGTTTGCTTCTGCGGAATCAGACCCAAGGCAGCTGTGATCTCGTGTCTGCATTTCTCGTTTAGCCCAGGCCGGACCCATGGCCTTGAACCTGGACCACGGCCATGGCTGGTCGCTCCACCACCGCCTCTCCTGTGCCCACGCCCCTCGGGTCCTTCTAGAGCACTTTTCAACGGTAAGTTAACTGTCTCGAAATTCCTTCATCACGAAATTTCCTACTTCAAAAACCTCTAATACCTCTCCGTGGGCTACACCAGTGACTCTGAAATAGACTTTCTCAGAGAACCTTTATTCTCAATGAAATAGGAAATGGATCAGACGTCAAGTTGCCCCTTGAAAAACTAGGCCTACTGGTTTAAAATCCAGTTTTCTTCCCCAGCCCTGCGGTCACTCATCGGTCTTCCTCATCCTCAGGACTCCCCAGTCTGAACTCTCCCTCCACCCAATGCCCTTCCAATGAGGGGAAGTTCTACCCACCCTGGAAGCTTCTGCTTGCACAGAGTGCTGCCCACGTCCTCGCCAACAGCTCCCAGGCGTGTCCTCCCGTCTGAACCCGAAGCAGCCGCCTCTGGCCTGCGGGCTCCGGGCTCCTCCCGGCGGGGGTGCAGCTGCATCTTCCCAGCCGCACCGAGTCCTCGAGGGGCAAAGGGCAGGACGATGTCACAGCATCACCATTCTCTTATCTCTCCCCACCCGCGGCCCTGCTCACAGCTGACCTCCGTGCATTCTTGCCACATGACTGTAGCATTTCCCAGGAGCCAGTGGGAACCGGGCAGGAGAAAAGACTGATAAGCAGAAATAGACACACAGCAGTGTGGGAAAGGAGAGGAGCGGGCAGTGGAAACTCACTCACAGGCGGTCCCTGGCGGAGACCGGACCGTAGGCACCAGACCGGACCAGGCGGAGTGAGGCCTGCTGTGTCTCACCCAAAAAGGGCCCATTTATTATTTTTCATCCCAGGAAAATGGCCACATGACAGAACAAACACAAGTAATGCTTTGCTGAGTATCGGTGAGGCCCAGTGCACTACAGACTGCGCGGGTCCCAGCTCAGAGGACGCTCTAAGGCAAACACCACAGGTTTGTGCCAGCGCAATGTGCATCTGTGTGCGCACAGCAGAATCAGTAAGTGTTAAATAACAAGATACACAAGGGCCCCGTGGGGGTGCACAGTGCGAGGATGCAGGAGCGAGGGAACCAACATTCAGTCTCAGCCGGGGGTCTGCGGAGGAGGGAAGGTCCGGCCTCCTGACACCCAGAAGAAGAACAGGCAACGGGTTTTAAGTAGAACAGAGGAAAGCAAAGCAGTCATGAGCCTGAAAAACATGTAACATTGATAAGGAATCCAAATCATCATAGAAACGGAGAAGAAGAAAACAACCGATAATCATCACGTTGACCTGAAGCAGCTGAAACCCAGATGGTGGACTGAGTCCGGAGCTGGCGAACAGCAGAGAAGGTGGAAAGATTCTAGGCGTTTCTGCTGTGTGGAAATACGTAAGCAAGGGTGGCGGCTAAGAGAAGGGACTGGGTTCGATGTGGACTTTGTAAAAGGGAGAATGAAAAG